TGGAGTCATGCATAGATCGCATGCGGAGGCAGCCAGCCTCTGAGGCTTCCACACTGTACACAGTGCTTGGCTGATTCTAGTCTGGGCTGTCAAAGTTCTGTCTTAATCCGCTCCAAATATTATTAAAGGCAGACAGGGGATTGTGCAAGCAAGAAGCCTCAAGCACTTAGCAGTGTTTCCACTGCAATCTTGCTAAGACTACATTTTAAATGATAAGGGGGGGGGGGACAGCCTAGCCCAGGCATGTCCAGCCAGTAGATCGCGATCTACCAGTAGATCCCCGGCTGATCCTGGTAGATCGTGGGACCCTAATAATAATAATAATAATAATAAAAATATTTTATTTATACCCCGCCCTCCCCGGCCAGAGCCGGGCTCAGGGCGGCTACCACCAATAAAATGTCAGTAAGAACATAGTAAGAAAAAAAAGAAAAAGAAACAATTTAAAATACAGGTTAAAATTCAATTTAAAATGCAGCCTCATTTTAAAAGTCAAAGCCATAAGGGGAGGGAGACATAAGGGTCAGAATGAGTCCAAACCAAAGGCCAGGCAGAACAGCTCTGTCTTGCAGGCCCTGCGGAAAGATGTCAAGTCCCGCAGGGCCCTGGTCTCTTGGGACAGAGCGTTCCACCAAGTCGGGGCCAGTACTGAAAAGGCCCTGGCCCTAGTTGAGACCAACCTAACCACCTTGTGACCTGGGACCTCCAACATGTTGTCAATTGTGGACCTTAAGGTCCTCCGTAGGGCATACCAGGAGAGGCGGTCCTGTAGGTACATGGGTCCTAGGCCGCATAGGGCTTTAAAGGTCAAAATCGATCGTGGGATTAAATAAAGTTTACCAAAAGTTAACAAATAAAAACTGAAGAACTCTGGGCTCAACAACTCTGGGCAATCCACCCACCCTCCATGAATGCTCCTCGTCCCTCCGATGACAATGGGTAGATCAATGCCTGTTGTTTTATACAGGGAGTAGATTGCAGTCTCTTGGGAGAAAAGCAATGACAAACCTAGACAGCATCTTAAAAAGCAGAGACATCACCTTGCCAACAAAGGTCCGTATAGTTAAAGCTCTGGTTTTCCCAGGAGTGATGTATGGAAGTGAGAGCTGGACCACAAAGAAGGCTGATTGCCGAAGAATGGATGCTTTTGAATTCTGGTGCTGGAGGAGACCCTTGAGAGTCCCATGGACTGCAAGAAGATCCAACCTCTCCATTCTGAAGGAAATCAGCCCTGAGTGCTCACTGGAAGGACAGATCCTGAAGCTGAGGCTCCAAGACTTTGGCCACCTCCTGAGAAGAGAAGACTCCCTGGAAAAGACCCTGATGCTGGGAAAGATGGAGGGCACAAGGAGAAGGGGAAGACAGAGGACGAGATGGTTGGACAGTGTTCTCGAAGCTACCAGCATGAGTTTGACCAAACTGCGGGAGGCAGTGGAAGACAGGAGTGCCTGGCGTGCTCTGGTCCAGGGGGTCACAAAGAGTCGGACACCACTAAACGACTAAACAACAACAAGATTCCATTCTCTTGGGAGTTGGGCATGCCTGGCCCAGCCGATCCCAGTCTCGCAGGATCATCTTACAAGTCAAGCCCACAACCATGAGCAGTAAAAATAAAAAGGGAAGCTCTTCCTCAACACCAGCTGTTTAGAGCACATCTGGAGCTGATCAGGAGGCACTGGCTAAGGGAGAGGAGGGAAGACTGTGGAATAATCATGGGGGGAAAGAAGCAGTCAGGCTGGCATGGAGAGGCGTTCCCTTTTCACCTGCAGGTTACATAAATCCCCTGCCTTGGCCTCAGTATCAGCTCCTCGCTGGGTGGAGCATTAGAAAGCTATTAGTGTGGGATGGGCAGATTAGCCTTCCCTGGAAACACCTGTTAAAACCTCCCCGGAAGCCAGGGAGAGGCTCCAGGAAGGTGACATCTTGGCTTATTCCCATGAGATCAAAAGGGAGCTGGTTCAGCCTGGCAGGGAAGATCAGACCACCCCCTTTTTTTGTTAAGCATCAGCTCAGCCTTCCCCAACTTGGGGTCCCTCCAGAGGTTTTCAGCCACATTTGGAATACAGTGGTACCTCAGGTTACAGATGCTTCAGGTTACAGACTCTGCTAGGAACAGTTTCAGGTTAAGAACGGACCTCCGGAACGAATTAAGTACAGTGGTACCTTGGATTAAGAACTTAATTCGTTCCGGAGGTCCGTTCTTAACCTGAAACTGTTCTTAACCTGAAGCACCACTTTAGCCAATGGGGCCTCCTGCTGCTGCCATGCCGCCGGAGCCCGATTTCTGTTCTCATCCTGAAGCAAAGTTCTTAACTTGAAGCACTATTTCTGGGTTAGCGGAGTCTGTAACCTGAAGCTCATGTAACCTGAAGCGTATGTAACCCGAGGTACCACTGTACTGTGAACAGTTCAGGTGGCCTCAGCTCAGAAAGGGTGTCGCACAGTGGGAAAAGGTTCAGCAAAGGGCAAACAAGATGATAAATTGGGGTGGAGCGACTCCCCCCTATGGGAAAAGGCTGCAGCATTTGGGGCTTTGTAGTTTAGAGAGTCCCATGGACTGCAAGAAGATCCAACCTCTCCATTCTGAAGGAAATCAGCCCTGAGTGCTCCCTGGAAGGACAGATCCTGAAGCTGAGGCTCCAAGACTTTGGCCACCTCATGAGAAGAGAGGACTCTCTGGAAAAGACCCGGATGTTGGGAAAGATGGAGGGCACAAGGAGAAGGGGACGACGGAGGACGAGATGGTGGGACAGTGTTGTCGAAGCTACCAGCATGAGTTTGACCAAACTGCGGGAGGCAGTGGAAGACAGGAGTGCCTGGCGTGCTCTGGTCCAGGGGGTCACGAAGAGGCGGACACGACTAAACGACTAAACAACAACAATAACAATGGGGCTGGTTGCAGTTGGTGATGGTTCAACCTGGCTGTCCTCATGATGGGAATCAATGTCTCCCACAGCTCCGAGCAAGAGATTCTCGACTATGCAGCTCATTCTCTGGGAGGTGAGAGGTTGCACCTCACAACTGCTCATTTGTTGGTGTTCAGTTTCTAACAAGAGGGCAGCCAGGGCATAAAGGCAAAGGGACCCCTGGCCATTAGAGGTCCAGTCATGACCGACTCTGGGGTTGCGGCGCTCGCTTTATTGGCCGAGGGAGCTGGCGTACAGCTTCCGGGTCATGTGGCCAGCATGACTAAGCCACTTCTGGCGAACCAGAGCAGTGCACGGAAACGCCGTTTACCTTCCCGCCAGAGCGGTACCTATTTATCTACTTGCACTTTGACATGCGCTCCTGTTGCAGGGATTCGAACCGCCGATCTTCTGATCAGCAAGCCCTAGGCTCAGTGGTTTAGACCACAGTGCCACCCGCGTCATAGCCTCTTCTAAAAGACAAGCCCTCTGAACACGAAACTCACCCCAAACTGTTTGTGGATACTCAAGCGATATGTAAAGGCCAATCTGCACATGTTCAGAGGCAATTTTCCATTTGGTGGGGCAGGGGATCATGGTTTGCTATGTTCCTGGTTCTGTGCTATATTTCTGGATGTGCTCAGAGGAACTGCTATCTTATTTTTACGACTTCATTGTCCTTTATCGACCACTTCATAGCATCTTAGCACTTCAAATAGCATCTCCAAGAGTCAGGAGCGCAGAATCCTCTCTGCGCAGAATCCTGGCAAGACACTGCCAATTAGCGTAATCAATAATAAATCAGGTCTGCCCAGTGGTCTGATTCAGTATAAAACTGCTTATTATGTTCCATACATGCTATCAGCACACTTGAAGATGTTGCCACTGATCAAACCCTTTAATCCAGGTGTTGCAATGGAACCTGGGGAACTCCCAGCCTCTAGACGAAAGTGGATTTTAACAAGACGGCTAATCCAAACCCTTGGGAAGGGTGTGTCTGTCTTGCACTTACATAAGCTATGGAAAGGTCAGGTGAAGCCTGCGTGGGAGTGGCAATATTTCGGTTCATCCACATAGGATATTTGCACCTCTGAATTCGCTCTCTAGCAGAGGCTCCACCCCTCTGAAACTGAGGGACACTGCTTGCAGGCTGTCTCGAACCCAGAGCCGCTCTGATTAGAACTGGACTCTTGTTTGGGTCAGGGAGGCGCAGGGGTGCCAGGGATTTAATCTTGGGCGTTCTGCACTCAAAGCAGGTGTTCCTGGGGCTTTTAGTGAGGCATCTGAATGAAGGGTGATGATGATTAGTTTGAAAATTCATCGTAAAAACAGGGGGTGGGGAGGGAGGGAGAGAGAGAGAAGAAAGCCAGCCAAAGAATGGATTCATTATTGGCATTTGTGTGCTGTCCTTCAGACATACTCCCATGCAGGGGCCGGGGCAGCGCCGCCATGTTCCCAGGATGGTGGGAATGTTCCTTATTGATGCCAGGCGTTTTTATCCTGCTCTTCAGCCAAATGAAGCTGTCAAGGAGGGGCTTAGCAAATGTCACTGAAAACCCCTGCCCACAGCACAAAAGGAAAAAGGGATTGTGAGGGAAGAGGAAAAAAGAAAGCTCAGGCAGATTTATGGGTCACAAGCAGAATGGCTCCTGAAGACCTTTCCAAAATAGGAGAATATGAGACTTGGGATCAATCAACTCATTTGTGAACTGATGTGGGGAGGGGCATGTAACCTGTGAGGCTCAGAGTTTAGAGCAATTTAGTTTACATCTGATATGATACAACACTCAGTGTGTGTGTATATATATATTTAAATATATATATATATACACACACACATCTATATATATATATACATACACACAGTGGTACTTCAGGTTAAGTACTTTATTCTGTTCCAGAGGTCCGTTCTTAACCTGAAACTGTTCTTAACCTGAAGCACCACTTTAGCTAATGGGGCCTCTTGCTGCTGCCACGCCACCAGAGCGCAATTTCTGTTCTCATCCTGAAGCAAAGTTCTTAACCCGAGTTAGCGGAGTCTGTAACCTGAAGCATATGTAACCTGAAGCGCATGTAACCCAAGGTACCACTGTGTGTGTATATCTATGTGTGTGTGTGTGTGTGTGTGTGTATATATATATATACACACACACACACACATGATTTTCTTACCTTCAAACAACGAATGTTAGGCTGTGAATGGCAAAGTATTGTACAATTCATTCCACATACCTTTTTATTTCTTGGTAATATGCAAAAATTAAACAAATGTCTAATTAACCATCTGCCTTTGAACCAAGCGGGTTATTGGCGGTAGACTGCTGGAGCTTGTCTGAATTTGTTTCCCCTCCCCTCGCTCTTTCCCTAAAAGGGTCATCTTCACATCTTGTGGCAATGAGTTCCGTGAGTGAACTATAATACTGTGATATATATTTTTTGGCGGGGAGGTGGGGCTGAGTGCCGACCCTCCTGGCAATAATACAAATAAACTCCTTGGCAGGTATTTAAAAGCACCCCCCGGAGTCTTCTCCCTAATGTGGGGTGGGGGGTGTTGGTTTCTGGAGGGGGGGGGCAAGAAGAGATGCGCCCCCCCTCGCCTTCCCCTCCGCGCGCCTCCCGCTCCCAATGCCATTTCTAGAACGGTAGTAAAAGTTTCTATTGATAAAAAGCCGCGGCGGCAAACACGAAAGCTCTCCAGCGCCGCCGTCTCCGCCGCCCAATCGGCGAGGCCTGTGAGAAAGGGATTCCCTCTGACGTCATTGCTAGGATACCAAACAAACACAGCCGAGACAAGGCCATATATGGCTAATTGCGTCACAGGAACTCCGGCGGGGCGGAGCGAGGGATCCCCGCTGAAATAGCCCTTTGGCGGCCCCGCACGGAGACCCCTTTGGGCAAGCGGGGAGGTCGGGGAGAGAGGGAGCCGCGGGCCGAGTTTCGGGGTCGGCGAGGTCCGGGATCGCCGGGGATCCGCGTTTGGGGGGCCGGATCGGCGCGCTTCCTGGTTGACGTCACGAGGGGCACGGCCCCCCTCTTGTATAAATAGGCTGCGAGGCAGAGCGTGGCTCATTCATAAGATTTCGGGCCCGGGAAGGAAAACCGGCGGCGGGCAGCGGAGAAAGAAGCGAGCGCCGGAGGGAGATCCCGACACTGCTGCTCGGAAACCGCCCGATCGCGTCGGATTGCTGGCTGCTTCTGTGGGGGGGAGGGGGGGGGGTGTTCTCCCGGGCGCGCGTTGGGGTTGGAGTTGGCTCGACCGGTGGAACTTCGGCCTGCCGCTGCCTTCGGGACCATGCTGTTGCTTTGAAAGGAGAGCGAAGGGGGGGACCCGAGGGAGCCGTCTCCCCCTCCGCCAGGCGACCCGGAGAAGAGCAACTCTCGCAGGCGCCCCGAGCCTTCTGCCTCGGATCCGGCGGCGGCGACCACGGCAGCGGCAGCAGCGGCGGGAGGGTCGGCCGGCTGGCTGTGCTCGGCGCTCACCTTGGCTTCCAGGCGCCCCCGGCGAGGCCGCGGCCTTTCCCGGCGCCCCCGAGGGAGATGTATCAGGGCTTCCCCGGAGACTACGACTCCACCTCCCGGTGCAGCTCGTCCCCTTCGGCCGAGTCCCAGTACCTCTCCTCGGTGGATTCTTTCGGGAGCCCCACGGCCGCCGCTGCCGCCTCCTCGCAGGTAAGAGCCGCGGATCGCGGTGTGTGTGTGTGTGAAGGGACAAACACTTGCTTGACGGGTTCTTTCGTCCAGCCATGGGAATCGGGGGGTGTGCGTCCTTTGCACCGGACTCTTCCGGGCGCCGGGATCCAGGAGATCGGAGGCGGGGACGGGGCTCCCTTCTTACTCCCCTTGCAGTTCCCTGCACCCCCAGCCCCTGATCCAAGCGCTGGTCAGCTCGGGGTCTCCGGTGCTTGCATGCCTGTCTGCCTATCGGGGGACTCTCACGCCGCCCCCCCCACCGCAACTGCATGTGCTTTTCGTTTTCCTCTTCCCTCCCCGCCGTCCTTCCTTTTTTGCCCCACCTGCCCACTTCGGCCGATCCCCTCCCAAATTGATCCCGATTGCGGTACAGATCCCCCCCTTCCCTATTTTATTTCGTTTTTAAAACACGCGGAAATTAATTCTCCGGATCGGGTGTCCGACCCGCGATTGGAAAGCAAAATAGAATTAAAATCTTCCGGCAGTAGCAATTGAAACGGATCTCCCGCAAAACTCTCCCCGCGCGCGCAAGTCTCCCCTGCGGTCCGCATTCCTCAACTCTCTCCGCTTCCCGCACCCCGCTTCCCTCCGGGGTTTCGAACGCGCATGCGCGGAGAGGAGGAGGGGGAGTGGAGGAGGCGAGCGCGAAGACGAAAGGGGGGAAAGGGGGGCGGGGTTGTGCGTAACGCATGACGTGCTGGAACCCTCCGTGCTGACGTGAAGCACGCACGGCGCGTTTCTCCTCCACCTCCTCCTCCTCCCCGAGGCGCGCGGGTTATTTTGGAACGCTGGTCCACCCCCGTTGCTAAGGGGCGGGGCGGGCGGGAGGAGCGCGCGGATTGGCCGGGCCTGGGAAGGGGAGGCCACGCCCCCTCCAGCCCCTGCTCGCTGCTGCTGCTGCTGCTTCTATCTTGGTGCAAGTCAGCAGAGCAAAAAGGAAATGCTAAAAATAATCCTCTCCAACTGTGGAAGGAGCAGGAGTGCAATGCTTTGCGTCCCGTATTTCGGGGGGCAGTTTCCAGCTCCGCACTCCATAATGCCCCCTTTAGCTGGAAGAGAGAAACGGGCCTTGCTCCAGCCCATAATAAGCATCCATCTCTTTCCTTCCTTGTTAAATTGGGAGAGGAAGATGCATGCCCTCCCAATGTTGTCCCTGGTCCTCTGGGAGCTCTAGGGGCGCGCACGCCCCTCTGCAATTCAGAGGGGGCTGCAATGAAGGGATGGAGGAGCCCCACGGCTTGCTCTGAGCCACTGGTGAACGTGGGAAATGGGTAATGTTATGGGCATCAATGTACTTGCTTCTGACACTCCAGCCAGGAATGGCAGCCAGCCCCCGACCCATTTGGAAGTGTGGGGCGGAAGGCCAGATATAGTGGCTTGGAGGCAGCTTGGCTTCCCTGTGAAGTGCATAGCGTCACTCGGGTGAAACCCTTTCCCTTTGCTTTTAAGGGAAGGAGCAGCAAATTTTAGGGATGAGCCTCATTTTGCCCTCCGATTCACTGCTTTCCCCACCTGGAGTTGAGTTGCTTTAGAGCACCTTGTCTAAGAGTTATTTCTGAGCTGTGTTACCTGCAGGGTGAATCTCCGGCAGCTTTCTTCCCCTCAGATCTTATTGTACTTGGGACTCTTATTATATCACACCTTCTGGTAGCTTGTGTGCTTTGAGGTTTCGTCCTAAAAAAAGATGAGAAAAAAGCCAAGGTTTCGAACCAGAGACTATTATTCCCAGTATAGGTGCAGGATACAATCACACACACACACACACACACACACACACACACAAATATATGTATCTTCCCCTGAAAAGCAATAAAAAGAATTCTGGTATCATGTCCTAAAAGTGTCCATGGTGGTGGCAGTCACTGATGGCTGATGCTTCCTCTTCATTTGATCTCGTGATATTTGTTAATATTTCCTGATGTCACTTATTCAAGGAATGAGAGGTTAGCCTTCAGTTCTCAAGCTGGAGAGGGAACAGTGTTTGCCACAAGCTTCCAACTCTTTTAACAGAAATCCAACACGCTCAGTGACAGAATATCTGTTTATTGCATCTCCACTGCAGTTGGCAATTCCTCTCTCATAACCCAGATGACAGAGCCAGCTGTGGTGGCTCATATCATAGAGTTGCCAAGGGGTCATAAGGGGTCATCGGGTCCAAGCCCCTTTGGTCTTTGCTAGGTGACACTTTGGCTTAGACATGGGGTTGGTGCTCCAGGTGTCATTGGGACTAAAGCTGAAGTTGATGGGATTTGTAGTTCAGCAATGCAGGGGGCTGGACTAGATGACCCTCGGATCCCATTCCAACTCTACAGTTCTCCCCCCCCCAAAAAATGAACTCAAAGTGGCTTACAAACATTAAATAATAATAATAATTTACTATTTATACCCCACCCATCCAGCTGGGTTTCCCCAGCCACTCTGGGAGGCTTCCAACAAAGTATTAAAATACAGTAGTCTTCCCTAAAGAGGGCTGCCTTCAGATGTCTTCTAAAAGTCTGGTAGTTGTTTTTCTCTTTCACATCTGGTGGGAGGGTGTTCCACAGGGCAGGTGCCACTGCCAAGAAGGCCCTCTCGGTAGTGGCCAAGGTTGCTTTTAAAAACCGTAATAATGAATGAGGTTGAGAAGAAACCAGCTGCACACACTAGCTCCCACAAACATTTTATTGATAAAGCAAAATACTTCATTTGTTAGGCATTCGCCTTGGGGGGGGCGAATGATCCATGTCACCTGGATCATTTAGGCCACGGTTGCCTACAAAGGTGCTTTGTGAAGAAGGAACATGGAAGCCTTATTTCTGCCGTCCTCTGAGCATGCATGCCTCTTTCTCTCTCTCCCTCCCCAGGAGTGCAGTGGCCTTGGGGAAATGCCCGGATCCTTTGTGCCAACAGTGACTGCCATATCGACTAGCCAAGACCTGCAGTGGTTGGTGCAGCCCACCCTGATTTCCTCAATGGCCCAGTCTCAGCAGCCTCCGGGCCAGCAGGTGCCGCCTCAACAGCAGCAGCAGCAGCAGCCACCCACTGTGGACCCCTACGACTTGCCGGGGACCAGCTACTCCACCCCAGGACTGAGCGCTGCCTACGGTGCCGGCCCCTCGGGGCTGCCTGCCGCCCAGCCACGCTCCACCAGGGCCCGGCCCCGAAGGACTCGGGAGGAAACGGTGAGCGGGGAGGATTGTAGGGCCCTGCTTCTCCTGTGGAACTTCCTCTGGGGAGCCGGCGACGAGGTTATTAACTCAAATCGTTTTGCACCCTTGATTTGGCCCCGCTTGACAGATTCCCCAAATAGCCTTAACGGTTGCCTTTGGTATATATATTTTTGGGGAGGGATGTTGGCTGGTTGCCTTCTCTGCCCTCTTGCCCCCTTGGTAGCTTGGGGGAAAGTATGGGTGACTTATCCAGATTGCAGTGACGAATTTGCCAGTCCACTGTAGCCGGAACCACTTCGGATTCCTGGCTGGGCAGTGTCCAGCTAAGGTGGGCTGCTTGACCCTCCCAAATCTGGTGTTACGACGTTGCTGCATCTTTTCATAGACTTGCAGAGTTGGGAAGGGACCATTAGTCATCTAGTCCAACCCCCTGCAATGCAGGAATCTTTTGACCAATGCGAGGCTCAAACCCACAACCTCTGGATTAAGAGTCTCATAGGGTTACTTGAGTGTATTCTCCTGGGTTGAATACTGGGGTGTAAAACCCAGTATGTCCATTTGCCCCACCAGAATGAGCAAAGATAGTCTTGGCGGCAGGGGTCGCTTGTGTGGATCCCAGGATTCTTGACAGCCAGTCAGGAAAAGGGATCTGCTGTCTCTTCATGAAGTCCAAAGATAGACCAGCTTCTCCAAGGTTCATTAGGGATGGATGCAGCTGGTTTGCCCTGCAGGAGAGAGGTGGTGGCAAAGTCCTTTGGGACGATGCCATGTCCAGAAAGGGAGAATTGTCTCTAGCCTTCATCCATGGACTGACCGCCTCTTTCTCCTGCCCTTGCAGCTGACACCTGAGGACGAAGAGAAACGCCGTGTCCGGAGGGAGAGGAACAAGCTTGCAGCAGCCAAGTGCAGGAATCGCCGCCGTGAACTGACAGACCGACTTCAAGCGGTGAGTGGCGAACGGGGACTTCCTGGCCATGAGCTTTTTGGTGCCACTGGCCCTGCCCTTGGGGGGGAAACCCACAAGCTTTGAGGGAGGTGGAGCTGCCTCAGGGCCCTGTTCTGCTTGGCTTAATGGCCAATTTCTGTCTATTGCATTTATAGCCCACCTCCCTCACATTTAATCTCCACAACAACCCTGCGAAGTAGGTCAGGCTGAGAGATAGGGACTGTGACCGGAGGCTCACGGTTTGCTTCACAGCCAAGTGGGGTTTGAATCCTGGTGTCTCTCAGGCTCTAACCACTATCCCATGTTGTCTCTGCGTGGCCGGTATTACCATTTTAAGGGGCCACAAACGGACGATTATTTCATTCCCTATGACCGTGGGGAAAAGCCAAAGAGTCTGTCTGGGAATGTATCGCCTGTTCCTGCCCTTCTCGCCCTCCAGCCCCACACAGCCCCAAAGCTGCATTGATCCAATCTTCCAAAACCCCAATGAAGCCCTGAAATCCAGGTTTTTCAGGCAAAAGAGTTTGAAATGTTTTTTCTTCCATCGGGATATTTGAAAAAGGTGTTGGTTGGTTAAAAAAAAAAAAATTTTTTTTAATGCCGTTCTCCCTGTAGCTTTTTCTAAGCTGTTTTGGGCTCCCATATTTAGGATAGCAAGCTTTATTTACTAATCTTCAAAAACGGACAGCTCATCCCCATCTTTGGGGGACCAGGCAAATCCCAGTTCCTCCCTCCCTCCTGAGCTTCAAGCTGAGACCGGGTTGTCTCCTCTTGCTTTCCCTCCACTTTCCCTGCAATGTAGGTAACAGCTCTAGGCCGCCATCTTGGAGGATGCTAGAGGAATGGGCGCCATAGAGTCTGTTGGCTGGAGTGGTTCTCGCCCAGCGGTGGCCCTTCTGGTCCTGCAGGCACCATTTTGAAAGAGGGCAAAGGGACGCTTGCTTGGCTAGAGCAGGAGAAATGGCAGACTCCTTGACTGCAGTGCCCCCCCAAAACTGGGATGGCCCCCCAAAAAACCTAGCCATAGACTTCAGCCTGGGAGGCTTTTAAAGTAGTTTATCCTCTGAAGTTGATGGAATTAGAGAAGACTTTGAGAGCTTGGTGCCCTCCAGGGAAGTTTGGTCTCTGTATAGCATATGGAAAAGGCAGATGAGTTGGGTCTAGTCTGGTGGGATCCATGACCACCATTGCTTCCCCTTGGTTGGGTATTGAGCAGGCAGCGAGGCAAGATGGCAGATGCAGACTACCCACAGGCGTCCCTGGCTGGGCTTGAACCACCAACCTTCTGGTGGTGGTTGTTATTATTATTTGAATTTATATACTGCCCTATACCTGGGGGTCTCTGGGCAGTTCACAGAATAAACTCAAGATGTAAAGCCACAAAATACCTAATAAAAATAAAAACAACCCAATAGCCGCCCACACAAAACACATTTTAAAAGGGCATAGGATGTCAATCAGATCAGCCAAAGGCCTGGTTAAAAAGGAATGTTTTTGCCTGGCGCCTAAAGGTGTACAGGTGGTACCTCGGATTACATACGCTTCAGGTTACAGACTCCACTAACCCAGAAGTAGTACCTCGGGTTAAGAACTTTGCTTCAGGATGAGAACAGAAATAGCGCAGCAGCGGCGCGCGGCAGCAGGAGGCCCCATTAGCTAAAGTGGTGCTTCAGGTTAAGAACCGTTTCAAGTTAAGAATGGACCTTCAGAATGAATTAAGTTCTTAACCCGAGGTACCACTGTATAATGAAGGCGCCAGGTGAACTTCCCTGGGGAGAGCATTCCACAAATGGGGAGCTACTGCAGAAAAGGCCCCGTTCTTGTGTTGCCACCCTCTGCACCTCTCGAGGAGGAGGCACCCAAAGGAGGGCCTCAGAAGATGATCTCAGGGTCTGGGTTGGTTCATATAGAAACAAGTGGTCCTTGAGGTATTGCGGTCCTGCGCCTCTGGGGAATTTTGGCCAGACGCACCACCCAAGGGAACTGGTGGTGTCCCTCCCAGCTCCCCAATTCCACACCATCTCACCTCCCCTTCCCTGCCCGCCCCCCATGGCTTCCTTGCTGACTCCGCTGATGTCCCCGCTCCTTCCCCAGGAGACCGACCAGCTGGAGGAGGAGAAGGCTGAGCTGGAGTCGGAGATCGCGGAGCTTCAGAAGGAACGCGAACGGCTGGAGTTTGTCCTGGTGGCTCACAAGCCCAGCTGCAAGATCCCTTACGAGGACGTGCCAGAACTGATCGGGCAGCCGGGCACCTCGGGCGAGGTGAGCGCTTTAGCCCTGGCGGTCAAGGAGGACCCCTTTGGGCCCACGGCCTACTCGTCGCTGCCCCTCCACTACCAGCAGACCCTTGGCGGAGTGCAGGCCTTGTCCCCCGCGGAGGTAGCGTTTTCTAGTTCTTACTTTTCACATGGTGAACAGCTGACCGACCCATACCCGGCTAACCCTTCCTATACGTCTTCGTTTGTCTTCACCTACCCAGAGGGAGCCACCTGCGGAGCCACACACCAGCGGAACAGCAGCAGCGACCAGTCCTCGGACTCCCTGAACTCTCCCTCGCTCCTTGCGTTGTGAAACTCAAAAAACCACACCCGCAACAACAAACTGCAAAAGCCCAACCCCCTCCCACTCTCGAACCCTTGTCGCTGCCTGACCTCCATTGGAAAAAACAAACCAAAACGACCCATGTGTGCAAACTTCTGCGTTAAGCGAAGGGGGGCACAAGAGAGAGAGAGAGAGAGAAATGGCAAAATGCGTACCCCCCCAGCTTGGGAGCGTCGAACCTTTAAAACACCAATATCTATCTATAAAGAGACCAAGTCACCTGCCAGCCATTGCTACACCAGCACCCAAGCTATGTTGTTGTTGATGTTCAGACTGCCGGGGTGCAGTGAGTGGAACGCCTTTTTGTGTCTCGACGGTCGCTTTCAACATTTCCTTGTTTTTTGGGCTTTGCAATTTCCAAATGGGAGAGCGAAGGAGGAAGGATGTTTCTGGGCTACAGCGATGGATGATCTACCCTCCGCCTCGGAAGAACTCTGAGCCTAAAACTTGCTTTTCTGGGGGGAAACGGGGCCCTTGCCTTTTGCTGAACGTGGACTTTTTGGCGCTGTGTGGACTGTGACGATGGTTCTCTGATTCTTGCTGCCTTTTGTTCATGGAATCATAGAATTGTAGACTTGGAAAGGGACCCCAAGGGGTCGTCTTGTTGTAAGAAGCCGAGCAAAAGGGGATGACCTGTCAGTAGGGGGAATGAGGAGGAATGGGGTTGGGCTCCTCCCCTGTTCTAGCAGACCCTACATTGCCTGGCTGCTTATGAATCTTCTGCCAGCTGCACGGTTATAAATGGGCACTCTCAAGGCACTTTATCAGCCTGCACTATGAAACGTGGTTGAGAGATTGACCGGCCAGCGACCATCCTTTCCCAAATTATTTTGGCAGGTGCCTACTGTCAACCTCAAAAAAAAGTCTAGAATATGGCGCAAGAGGTGCTTAAAAGTTCTTGTTTTCTGTGTGGTTTAAGCTTGCTGCCTGATCAGAGGCGCATGCTTACTCAGAAGTAAGCGCAACAGAATTCAGTTCCTTATGAGTTGCACCCTTAACGCGCAGAGGAGCAAGTCTACTTTAATAGGCTTGCAAGCAGAAATTATTCCAGTTCACACGATTACCAGTTTAGGCGCTTTGGTGAATGTCCTGGGAATATAATCAAAGGGCAGTAGAAAAGTATTTGGTCTTAAAGTATGAAGAAAAGAAGTTTTCTTTTTCTTCATACTTTGTTAATATATATATTTTGAGTTCAATCCAAAATTGAAAACTTAATTAATGAGAACCTCTGCTGCAAAATTCACCAGATTTTAAACTTGTGCAATAGTTTGGCAGCCCTGGTGGGCCTGTCAGAAAATACAGAAGCCTTTTAGAGGATAGCAGCCTCCATGCTTGTAAAGAAAGCTTTTTTGCTAGGAATTTGCACAGTGGGCTGTCTGGAACGCCACATCTTATTTTTGTCCAGCTGGTTGGGAGGCCAGCTCTACGTTGGGTCTACCCACCGCCTTTTAAACTTGGCCACATCCCCACCCCCACCCCCGAATGAATCCTCTTCCCACTAGGGGCTTCTTCCTTTGCTCGGTTTCCCGTGGGTGGGTGGCTGGCAACCATTTTGCCGGGATGTTGGGGAGCTGCGCTGGTGACATACTGTGAACGGACCTCTCCCCCCTCCTTGTATAGATGCTTTCCTCCCCGACCCTGGATATTGTGACACTATGTACTTTAAGCTGCCTGTAACCTCTCCGTTTCCTTTTGCTTGATGTATCCGTGGTTTTTGAAGCTGGCTCTTCTTCCCCACCACCCTTTTCTCCCTTGGTGACACTGTTGGTGAGAACCCCCCCCCCCCTGGATATTTAGCTGACTTCCATCCCCGGCTGCAGCCTTTCCTAATTTCTGGGCTTCTGGCTTCCTTCCTGCCTAGCTGCACCCTGGTGGATATCACTTTAGGGTGCCCGGATCCTCAAATGTGAGCTCCCTTTTTGAAAAGTGTCGGTGGCTCAGCCTGTCCCAGCATTTCAATCGGTTTGCAGCCGTGTTGCTTGTGAAGTGGGGCCCCCACCCCACCCCAGGGTCTCCTTGCGCCCTGTTGCTTTGGCTGCCAATGCCAAGTGGCGCTTGTGTATCTCTTGTGTGTGATCTTGTGCAACAGCGCTGCCCGCTTCTGACACCGCGCTGCCTCTTATTAACCTGCCACACGAGTGTGTTTATGGACTGGGGTAAAACAAAAAAACAAAAACAGCTGCCTTGTTGCTTTTATGGAGCTCTAGAGCACGCCGTTCAGGATGTTTCCAAAAAAACTTTCCTCGTGACCAAGCTTTCAATGTTGTGTTTAATTTTTTTTTAAACCAGAATTATTTTTAATCTTATGGACTTTTATTTTAACCGGCTTTTATTTTTAATTGCTTATTATACACTTGCTGGGGAAACGGGGGAATATTTTTAATTTTTAACTATTATAATAATTATTATTATTTTTACCCCCTTGTGCTGTAATATTATTTTTGTGTGTGATGTTGTTTTGTTAAGCAGCAGGCGGGGGCCGTCGGACGGGAAGGAGGGGAGAGAACTCTGGACCCGGCTGGCGGCTCTTCCCTGCACTTAACCTTGGCTAGCAAAAATAGCAAATAAAGACAGCTTTGAAAAATGCACTTTTTAACGATGGATATAAGATCTCTATTTTTTCAAACTCCTGTAAAGTTCACATTAAGGTGCAATAAAAAAAAAAGAAAAACCTCGAGCCGTAGAGCTGCCTGGCTTTCTGCACCGAAACCCCCATCACCTCATGCCTTAACCCTTCACGTTCAGGACGGGGCAGACCCTGGGGTGGCCGGGTGGCAGGAAGCTGCTATTACGGGTGGTTGCCATGTTTATGCGCTGGGACCTTGTTTGGTGTTGGAGTGCCCCCTGCAGCATGCTAAGCGAAAGCACACGTTGTGAGATCTCCTGGAAAGCAGATTTTGGGGTGTATGTGTGTAGTTACAACCCTTAAATCCAGGGTCTAAAATTCAAAAGAACCCATGATCAAAGTGTTGGTGCTGACCTTTGAAGCCCTAAATGGCCTCGGTCCAGTATACCTGAAGGAGCGTCTCCACCCCCATCGTTCTGCCCGGACACTGAGGTCCAGCGCTGAGGGCCTTCTGGCGGTTCCCTCCCTTCGAGAAGTGAGGTTACAGGGAACCAGGCACAGGGCCTTCTCAGTGGTGGCGCCCGCCCTGTGGAACGCCCTCCCACCAGATGTCAAAGAGAAAAACAACTACCAGACTTTTAGAAGACATCTGAAGGCAGCCCTCTTTAGGGAAGCTTTTAATGTTTGATGGACTACTGTATTTTAATATTTTGTTGGAAGCCACCTAGAGTGGCTGGGGAAACCCAGCTAGATGGGCGGGGTATAAAAAATAAATGATGATGATGATCAGGCCAAAGGGGCCTATCTAGTCCAGCATCCTGTTCTCACAGGGGCCAACCATGATGGGAAACCTGCGAGCAGGATCCGAGCACAAGAGCAACTCTCCTGCAGTTTCCAGCAACTGGGATTCAGAAGTCTTGCTGCCCCCAACTGTAGAGGGCAGAATATAGCCCTTGTGGCTGGTAGTGATTGGTAGCCTCCTCCTCTTCCACAAATTTCCTAGGTGGCACTTCTGCATGGGAGGAATCTTGTAGGGTCTTCCCAGCATTCCATTCTAATAAAAGAAAATCTTCCCTTATGGAGGGACACAAGAGCCCTTATAGAGTCCATTGCAGGGGGGGCAAGGAGAGAACTCTGGACCCAGCTGGCAACTCTTCCCTGCACTTAACCTTGGCTAGCAAAAATAGCAAAGACAGCTTTGCAAGAGGAGGAAACTTTGATGCTCCTCTTCCTGGTTCCCAATTGCATGTCACACACACACACACACCCCGGACTTCCAGCCAACTTTTGGTTTGAACATTCCAACCCTGCTTTTTGCTGAATTCCAAAGATTTAGAGTTTGGAACTAGAATGAGCTACTGTTTCACACAGCACATAGTTAAAACTGTGGAACTCCCCCCCCCCCCGCAGTGTGCTGGGCCCGGGGGTAACCCGTGAAACGCGGTCCAGGTGCGGTCCAGAATCCGAAGGTTCTGCTGGGAGTCAGTCCCACAGGACCAAGGCAGGAAACCAGGCAAGGACAGGTACAGGATCTCAGGCAGGATCTAGCATACAGCAATATTGCTCCCACAACCTGGGGTGGCGTCCGACAGCCTTTTATCTTTGTCGGTCCTGATCCCCCGGCGACTCACCTCCCCGTCTCGCCCAAAGGCAAGCACTCCTCCTGCGAGTACTCAGGTCTCTCCTCCTCTCAGACCTCAGTCTCTGCAGCTCGGGAGACGTCGGTGGGTGACTAGACCCAGAGGCTGCCTCAGCCTCCCCTGACCCAACCGGTAGTGGAGCAGCTGTAAGTGATGGCCCAGCTGGAGGCAACGAGGTCATCCCCACATCTGGAGCCAGGGCAGGATCAGGCCCCGGACTCGGCCCAGCTGGTGTTTGTTGCAGGGGAACCTGTGCAGACTGGGACTCTTCAGGATCAGGCCCCAGACTTGGTTCGGATGATGCCTGAGGCAAAGGATCCGGTGCAGACTGGGACTCCTCTGGTTCTGAGTCCGAGCCCGAGTCCCAGGCCATCACACGCAGGAGGCAGGGCGGGCCACCAACTTATTAAATTAAATTAATTTTTTATTTATACCCCACCCTTCCCGGTTTAAAAACTGGGCTCAGGGCAGCTAACAGCAAACACAAAACACTGATTAAAATGTGACTTAAAAACAGCATAGAAACAACATAAAATACAACATAAATGCAGCATCAATGTCAATAAAGTTCCAAAATTCAGGGTCATTTTTTTTGGGGGGGAACCCCAGTCAGTAAACATCAAGTGATCACCAGGGCTAACTGGCCAAGTTGGTCCTACTAGGGCCAGCAGGAGACCAGGGAAGAGTTTAAATGTGGGGTCCCAGATGACTTTAAGAGGATTGGAGGAATTGATGGAAGAGAGGGCTGTTGATGGCAGCTGGAGGCAGCGATAATTCAGAATACCAGTTGCTGGAAGCCAAAAGCAGGGAGAGTTTTTCTCCTGCTCAGATCCTGAGGTTTCCCTTTGCGGCATCGCTCCTCTGCTAAAATCCATCAGCATTCTTGAGGAGTACAGTTCCCTTAGCTTCCGTTATCATACCATCAAAAGGGCAAGAATACACAGCTATTTTAGCATCTTTGACAGAAGTAACATCACCTGGCGTGCTCTGGTCCATGGGGTCACGAAGAGTCGGACATGACTAAATGACTAAACAACAGCAACAACAACATCACCTCCAGTTTCCTTTTTAAATAACCATGTCATGCAATACTGTAGAAGCACAAATGCCAGAACCTAGGTTCTTGCGCACTCTGATGCTGTCAACATTAAAGAGGCCTGACTCATGAAGAATAGACACATGCCTGAGAGATAAGCTTAGTAAGAAATATTCCATTGCCACATTTTTTACTCATTATTGAAGTTTGCAGCAAAGATGCTACTTCTTCAACATCCCAGAGATATTTGGCAGAGCAGCACACTAGATCAGGAAGTATTCTTCATAGCCTTCAGTTACCTCTGAAACAAAAAATTCCATTCTTAGAAGCTCTTCTGCATGTTCTAGGAGGGCTCCAGCAAACACCAAAATTTGTTCCATCACCAACTTCTTGCTCTTGCATGGGAGAAGCCAAGACAATCATTTTTGCAGCTGGTTGGCCCCAGTTGAGAACAGGATATTGAGTTAGAGGGGCCTGATCAGATCCTGAAGCTCCAATACTTTGGCCACCTCATGAGAAGAGAAGACTCCCTGGAAAAGACCCTGATGTTGGGAAAGATGGAGGGCACAAGGAGAAGGGGACGACAGAGGACGAGATGGTGGGACAGTGTTCTCGAAGCTACCAGCATGAGTTTGACCAAACTGCGGGAGGCAGTGGAAGACAGGAGTGCCTGGCGTGCTCTGGTCCAGGGGGTCACGAAGAGGCGGACACCACTAAACAACAACAATAACAATGGGGCTGGTTGCAGTTGGTGATGGTTCAACCTGGCTGTCCTCATGATGGGAATCAATGTCTCCCACAGCTCCGAGCAAGAGATTCTCGACTATGCAGCTCATTCTCTGGGAGGTGAGAGGTTGCACCTCACAACTGCTCATTAGTTGGCTTCAGTTTCTAACAAGAGGGCAGCCAGGGCATAAAGGCAAAGGGACCCCTGACCATTAGAGGTCCAGTCATGACCGACTCTGGGGTGACCAAAGACCAAACTGTGGGAGGCAGTGGAACACTGGCGTGCTCTGGTCCATCGGGTCACGAAGAGGCGGACAACACTAAATGACTAAACAACAACAATGGGGCTGGTGGGTGCCTTGCGGTTCACTCACTGGAAAGGGTTGTGTCCCTCCCCTCAGTGATTTTCACTTGCTGGTGGAAGGACAGCAAGGAGAGAACCAGCCTGGCGTCCCTAGGCAGGGAGTTCCAATGTTGCCTGGGAGCAGCCACCACCGAGAAGGCCCTTTCCTGTATCCTCACCATGGGGGCCTGAGAGGAGGGTCTCCCCTGAAGACCTAGGGCCTGGGCAGGTTCATATTGGAGGGGGGGGGCACAGGATACGGCGCTTCAGACAGCCTGGGATGAAGGGGGCTTGCGCAGGAGAAATCCCCAGGGATGAGTTACGGTGCGCTTTGATTCGTGTGCTATGGGGCTCCCTGGACAAGACCCTGATGAAGAGTCGGACACGACTAAACGACTAAAAACAACAGGCAGCCAGACTCTTCTTAGCCTCTTATGGAACCTCCAGGCCCAGAGGCAGTCTACCTGGATTCCTAGGTTCTTTTGTACATTTGGCTACTGTGAGAGTAGGATGCTGGCCTGACCCAACAGGATCGTCTTACATTTTCAAACGCGAATGTCTCCAGTGTCTTCTGCTACCTTCCCACTTTTAAAGCTCCACCCGTAGTGTTTGAAGGCACTTGATGTTTTGTGAAGGACACATTATTTTTTGGAGACCGCCCCCCCCACCCGGCCGGCGATATGACATGCAGAGGGGAGACTGGGCACGCTCTGCCCCTTTTGCAAACTGTGCGGAAAGGGGAGTGGGTGATTTGGGCAAAGGCAGGCACTCTCAAGTGACTCCCCCAACCCTCCTACCCCCCAGCAGCCCATCCGTACATGAGCCCAACCCCCAACGATGCAGGAATCACAGCCAGGAGGCCACACGTCGGACACTTCTTCTTGTTTTTTCCCCAACAACCATTTTTATTAAAGTGTAAATCGAGGCAAAGATTGAGAACCGGCTCGCGCCAACCCCGTCGTTGGCCGGGATGGGTGTGGCAGAAAGTGGAGCATCCCGGGAGAAAGAAAGAAACATAAAAAGGTGCGTGGAGGTCGATTGTGTGCTCTGGCCAGCGTTGGGCACCTGTTTAAGACAGAGCCTTTCTCCTGGAGAAAGAAAGTGTTGCTCCAAGGCTGGCGGGCCCGTGTCAACTTTCCCTTAAGAAATAAATTCAGCAGGCAGGGAGGGAGACCGGGGAGGGTGGCACTAGGGTAAGAAAGGGGCCTTCGCCCACCCCCCAAACAGCCACAGCTTCCTGGAATTCACTTGGGGTTGCCGGGAGCGTGACCCCTCCAAGCTGTGCCAACTCTGCCCAAGGCCGGCAGCCGCCCAGTGGACTCCGCGGGGTGACTGGACGTCTCCGGCCCGCAGTTAGCCCGGGGGGGGGGGTGGACTGGAGAAGGCAAGCGGCTTTGTGTTGTGTCCAGGCCATGGCGGGGAGGGGGGAAGGAGGTGAGAGGTCAGGAGGGTCTCTTTGGGAAGGGGTGGTTGGGCAGCTGGAGGGAAGGAAAGGGGCAGAAGGAGGAGGAGGCATGTGTGGGTGTATATATATCTCTCTGTGTGGAAGGGGTCAGAGCAGGAGAGAGGGGGCGTCATTCATTCGGCTTTCGCTTTGGCTGTCGGCAGCTTGGACAGCATCCTAGGAGGAAAGGGGGAGAAAGAGAAGAAATTGAGCCAGTAGCGAGTGGAAAGAGTTTCTTGCTTTTAAAAAAATTATCTGCAGGACATCGTCTAGAATAAAATACCGTATTTTCGCTCTATAAGATGCACCAGACCACAAGACGCACCTAGTTTTTCGAGGAGGAAAACAAGAAAAAAAAATATTCTGAATCTCAGAAGCCATAACAGCAAGCGGAATCGCTACGCTGTGAAAGCAGAATTTCCTCTTGCTGTTCTGGCTTCTGGGATAGCTACACAGCCTGCATTCGCTCCATAAGATACACACACATTTCCCTTACTTTTAGGAGGGAAAAAGTGAGTCTTATAGAGAAAAAATACGGTAGCTTACTAGGGAAATGCTGAAGTTGCCCTTTGGGGCGCCTCAGGGTCAATTTTTATGGTAGCCCAAATCTCAGTTGTACGGGAGTATGTACAGTGGTAGCTCTGGATGCGAACGGGATCTGTTCCGGAGCCCCGTTCGCATCCAGAAGCGAAGGCAACCCGCTTCTGCAGGGAAAACCCACAAACAGGATCCGCGCACAACACTCTCCGTTCCTGCCGTTTCCAGCAACTGATGTTCAGAAGCATCGCTGCCTCCAACTGTGGAGGGCAGCACAGAGCCATCACAGCTAGTAGCCATGAGAAGCCCTCTCTTCTTCCTCCATGAAATTGTTCAATCCTCTTTCAAGCCAATCAGAGTTGGTAGCTGTCACTGCTTCCTGTGGCAGGGAGTTCTGCAGTCTATTTCCCCCTTTGGACCTATTGGCCCACCCAACAACACAGCGTACACATTTATGCAGGTTTAATCCACGAATGAATCAAGTCGATGCACATTCCAAGAGCTCTGCAAAAAGGTGACAGCCCTGAGTTTAAGCCGGTGAGTACATTCCCTTTGCAGCAGCCCAGTCCCCACACCTAAAGCGAAATGCACATTAAGGACTTAATCCAGATGTGAAATTCTGGGGACGTACGAGAGGGGAAACTCAAACACTTTCGCATCTCCTTTTTGTGTGTGCAAGTTTCTTGGAGGCTTGTGGTTGAAAACAGGATGTGAGGCCAGACGAACTTGTGCTTTGGGGGGAGCGAGGCCAGTTCTTCTTAAATTCTTCTGAACTTCCTCACGGCAGGTGGGCGCTAAAGGCGACGGGTGGTCCCTCCACCCTCAAATTTGAGAGCACACTGGTGCAACTTCCACCAGTCCCAACTTTGCCTGCGACCAGCAGGGTGATCAATTAACATAGAAACATCTAACTATGGTCTTCTGCAACCTGGTGCCCCCTCCAGGTGTGCTGATTGGGGGCTGGGGGGTGTTGTCATCCAAAACATCTGGAGAGGGCACTGGGTTGGCAGAGTCTGCTCTGGAGGTTGCAGGAGGGCTAAGAGAGCTGCTTCCCTTGCCAATGCTTATCGGAAGGGCCTGCCTCCATAATTTCTATAGGTCCCGAACAAGCACTGGTAGTAGTGGCTCAGTGTGCCACCAGGGGGTGCTGTGGGGCTAGGGTATATACACAGAAACCCCATACACTATTCAGTTTCTGAAAATTCATAGCACCCACGGGTGACGCTCTCTCTTCCAAACAGCAGTGAAATAGCAGCCAACGTTGTGCAGTGCTTGGAGTGTTGGGCCAGGTAGAGGTAGAGGTAAAGATAAAGGGACCCCTGACCATTAGGTCCAGTCGTGACCGACTCTGGGGTTGCGGCGCTCATCTCAATTTATTTCCAAGGGAGCCGGCGTACAGCTTCCGGGTCATGTGGCCAGCATGACTAAGCCGCTTCTGGCGAACCAGAGCAGCGCATGGAAATGCCATTTACCTTCTCGCCAGAGTGGTACCTATTTACCGTATTTTTCGCTCCATAGGACGCACTTTTTCCCCTCCAAAAATAAAGGGGAAATGTGTGTGCGTCCTATGGGGCGAATGCAGGCTTCACTGAAGCCTGGAGAGCGAGAGGGCTGGTGAGCACCGATCCCTCTCCTCTCCAGGCTTCAGGAGCTATCCGCAAGCCTTGGGAGCCCGGCGGGAGTTCCCGCCGGGCTCCCTAGGCTTGCGGATAGCAGCCTGCATCCTGAAGCCTGTGGCGCGCTGAGCACCTTAGAGACCAACTAAGTTTGTTCTGGGTGTAAGCTTTTGTGTGTATGCACACTTCACCAGAAAGTGAAATATAAATAAATATAAATATAAAGGTGAGATATAAATGCAATTCAATGGCAAAGGTAATGAAGAGGACCTGGCTTGAGAGCAGTACATGTGAAAAGGATCTAGGAGTCTTGGTTGACCACAAACTTGACATGAGCCAACAGTGTGAAGCGGCAGCTAAAAAAGCCAATGCAATTCTGGGCTGCATCAATAGGAGTCTAGCATCTAGATCAAGGGAAGTAATAATGTACTGGAGTACTGTGTCCAGTTCTGGGCACCACAGTTCAAGAAGGACACTGTCAAACTGGAACGTGTCCAGAGGAGGGCAACCAAAATGGTCAAAGGCCTGGAAACGATGCCTTATGAGGAACGGCTAAGGGAGCTGGGCATGTTTAGCCTGGAGAAGAGGAGGTTAAGGGGTGATATGATAGCCATGTTCAAATATAGAAAAGGATGTCACATAGAGGAGGGAGAAAGGTTGTTTTCTGCTGCTCCAGAGAAGCGGACACGGAGCAATGGATCCAAACTACAAGAAAGAAGATTCCACCTAAACATTAGGAAGAACTTCCTGACAGTAAGAGCTGTTCGACAGTGGAATTTGCTGCCAAGGAGTGTGGTGGAGTCTCCTTCTTTGGAGGTCTTTAAGCAGAGGCTTGACAACCATATGTCAGGAGTGCTCTGATGGTGTTTCCTGCTTGGCAGGGGTTGGACTCGATGGCCCTTGTGGTCTCTTCCAACTCTAGGATTCTATGATTCTAGGACAGCAGAGTTATGGGGTGCTGCTTGGCCCGCAAGCTTGACCAAAGGCAGGACCTGAAACGCAAAAGGCGAACCCCGCAGAGGAAATCAAAATTCCCACTTGGGGTTGGGGGAATCGAACTGTTATCCCCTTTGACCAAGGATCCAGGCCTGGTGGGCAATGGAAAGATTTGGTGGCCCCCTCCCCAGCTGAGGAAGAAGCAAGGAAAAGAGGCAGGGGGCAAAGGAGAGAAAATACCCCCCCCCCCAAAAAAACCCCCCACAACTTACTTTGCTCTGAGGTTACTCAACTGATTCCTCACCAGCCCCACGTACTGGTCAATCTGTGCCTGGAAAGAGGAAAAAGGAAAAGGGTCTGTAGTGAGCGGAGATTTGCTGGAAATGCCAGGAAGACGTTCAGGCTCCAGGATATGTCTGTGTGTGCTTTAAAGAGGCTGCTTCCTTCAGGTGTCACTCCATACATGCTCAGAGGCACGCTGGCCTTCCACCGGTATGTTTGAAAAGCTGCTTTCCAGAGAAATCAAAAGGCACTCAGTGCCTGCTTAAGGGGTTCCTAGACTTGCATGCAATCCATGCCCAAACATCGGAAGCACACGGTTTTCTTGGAACAGTTCTCTGGGAACTGTAGTTTGCACACTCTGGAGCACCTTAATAAGTGAACTACAGCTCCCAGGGTTCTTTGCCCAGTGAGAGAGGGCAAAACAAGGAATATGCAAGAACATGTCAGTGATGGGCAGGTCTGAACCTGTGAGGAGAACCTGAGCTTACAGGGTTAAACAGCTCAGAGTGTACGCCCTGCCTACAGGGAGGGGGGGAGGTTCGTCATTTCCGAGAGCCTCAAGCTTTTGCTCTCTCTACTTTCGCTTTTGAGGAGAGAGGACGTGTTTTCACGATGCTGTTCGCTGTGATAGATAATGGATAGTCTGCTGTAAATAAAATTGCTTTTAGCTGCTAAGATCCTGAGTGGACTTTATTTAAGCACACTGAAGAATGCTCTGGAGTTTTTTGCAGTCTTTCTCTTGCCGCTGTTGATCTCTGCTTTGCTCAGGAATGTGGACTTTGGAATGTCGGCCAGAGCTGCGCGATGGGAAGCGTGCTGGACGCTTATCTGAGCAATAAATCAATCTGCCCAACAGAACCCAGTGGATCTTCGTGCAGACCTTAGTCAATCAGGGTCATAACAAGGATGGGGGACAGCTGACCCTGCCCTCAAATGCTGTTGGGCCACAGCTCCACAATGGTCAGTAATTATGGGAGTTCAGATGTCTTCTAAAAGTCTGGTAGGTGTTGTTCTCTTTGACATCTGGTGGGAGGGCGTTCCACAGGGCAGGCGCCACCACCGAGAAGGCCCTCTGCCTGGTTCCCTGTAACTTGGCTGCTTCTCGCAGCGAGGGAACTGCCAGAAGGCCCTCGGAGCTGGAACTCAAGTGTCCGGGTAGAACGATGGAGGTGGAGACACTCCTTCAGGTATACTGGGCCTTTGAGGCAGTTTAGGGTTTTAAAGGTCAGCACCAACACTTCAAGGGCTTTGAGGTCAGCAGAAGGGGCCCCCGCACCTTAAAGGAATTGAATTTTCCCTTGGGTAAAGTCTCCCAATTCCAGCTACACTCCCCCCCCCCTTCATTGCCCAGCACACCCACCTGATGTTGCCTGTACAGCAGAGGGAAGGTAAATGCACTTATCACACCTGCAGAAAGGAGAATAAAGAAAAATGAGAGGAAAAATCTGCCTGCTCACTGACTCTCCCCACCCTGATACCCTAACCGAGAGAGACCTTGCAACTGGGCTGTTAACTGGCCTGCCGCCCCCACCCACCCCAGCTCATCTTGTCTCTTCCAAGCAAATCTAAGAGGCAATAGCAGGGAACCATGGCAGATTCTCCAGTGGTAGTTTAAAAAAACCTAAAACTGCCTTTAGTCAAAAGCCTCCCCTTTTTTAAACAGCAGTAGGAAACGGTTGCAATAATGAACCGTTGGTGTAAACTCCCCACCCCAAAATATATATACCGTACTTTTCTATGTATACGACACCCCCATGTATAAGACGCCCCCTTTTGGGGGGACTCAAATTTAAGAAAATGGGGGGAGATGGCACAGAGTTGAGCTTTTTTGCAGAGGATTTTTTTAAAAATATATACATTTTTATTGGTTTTTAAAGCATATCATTTAACCTAACTTCTTATCTTATACAATATTTTAGACTTCCGTCAACAACTTCTGAAGATTTTCTGTTCTTTATCACTTGTTCTGCATTTCTTAATTTCTCTATTACTTTTAATTATCCTTAATTAATAATTCTCATCATAGTCTTTTTCAAGTAGTCCTCCTTACAGAACTTCCTGCAGTCCTACTAGTGTAATCTGTTTATTACAACTGTTCTTCAAATAGTTCAAATATTTACTTTTTAGCAGAGGATTTTAGGGGTGGTTGCTGAAATCCTCTCACGCATCGCAAAATTCGCCTCTTGTCTGCGCCCTCGCCGGCAGAAGCTTACAAACGCCCACCCTATTGCAGCAGCGTCAGCCAATCAACGCCACCCGTTGACACAGCAACCAATAACACGCACAACAGCCGCTAACAGCTGCGGCAGCAACCAATCAAACATCCACCCTATGCACTCCCCATGTATAAGACGACTGCCATTTTTTTGGCATGGTTTTTAAAGCGGAAAAAACTAGTCTTATACACAGAAAAGTACGGTACAGTCATACCTCATGTTACATTTGCTTCATGTTACGTCAAGGGTGCAATGAGATTAAGGGCCACTATCTGAACGATAATCTTGGTCATTTGATTGCTCTTTTTACCAACTGCTGTCCTTTTTATTTGTATATATTTTATTTGTATACCGTATCTTTCACTCCATAAGACACACTTTTTCCCTCCTAAAAAGTAAGGGGAAATGTGTGTGCGTATTATGGAGCGAATGCAGGGGGGAGGCAGGCAGGAAAAGCCCCCAGGAGCCGCACACAAGCTCTGCGCGGCTCTTGGGGGCTTTTCCCCAGGAGGGAGAAGGGACTGACACATAGAAAAGCCCGCAGGAGCCACGCGCTCCTTAAAGGGTGTGCGGCTCCTGTGGGCTTTTGCGGGAGGTGGGGGAATTGCAATAGTCACGCGCAGCCTCTCCCGGCTGGATGGATCCTGCTCGCTGTCTTGGCTTCTTTGCTCTTTGGGGCTGGGGGACCGGGCTTCCCCCAGCAGCCCCGAGAAGCTCTGGGAGAAGTGGACAGGCTTTCTTGATTTCCCCCGCTAAAAACTGGGTGCGCCTTATGGTCCGTGCACCTTATGGAGCGAAAAATACAGTATATTGCATGTTTTATGTTGATATGGCCGTCGGCTAATGCGAATAAAGTTTCTTATCTTATTGTTACGTTCTTTCAGGTTATGTCCCGTGGTGACTCGGAAGTACCAGAAAGAGTTACTTCGGGTTCGCTACTTGTGCATGCGCAGAAGCGCTAAACTGTGCTTCGTGCATGCGCACAAGTGCCAGATCGCGCCGCGCACCTGCGCAGATACGGCGCTTCAGGTTGTGCTCTTTCCATGTTGTGAATGGGCCTCCGGAACGGATCCCGTTCGCAACCAGAGGTACCACTGTATATATCTGGCAGGGCACCTGTGTCATAAATCCAACAGGTGGTGTCTTGTGACAAAGCTTCACCAGCTGAACCAGCGGCTCTTAAAGGCGCAGGAGACTTTTCTTCCTGACTACTTCTGCCTAGTCCAAGGCAGCGCAGTGAATCTCGACTGAACCACTGAGACCGCCTGCAAGGCTGTTGTTCCTTGTTCCCCCAGTTGGTGGGCTCCTCTTATCTCTGCCCCAGCCCTGAAATGCGTTGCTCCTTGCTCAGCCCATGGGCCTTACCCAGTATCAGCAAAGTCAGCCCATTGAAGACGGCTCCCACGTAGGTGAGGATGTAGAACAGGAAAGCAAACTAAGAAGCAACAGAGAAAAGGGCTTAGGAGGCTTTCGTTAGGCACAGAGAAAGTTCCGAGACCGGCTGGAGTGCAATCTTGGGAGCCCGCCCCCCCCCCCCGGTCCTGCTGTGTCCCTGGCGAGATTGGAACCCGTTCCCCTCTCCAAACACACACACACACCCAGCATCCGCCACAGAGGATGTAGTGCTTAGAGTGTCAGACTAGAAACTGTAAGGTAAAGGGACCCGTGACCATTAGGTCCAGTCGCAGACGACTCTGGGGTTGTGGTGCTCATCTCGCTTTACTGGCCGAGGGAGCCAGCGTACAGCTTCCGGGTCATGTGGCCAGCAGGACTAAGCCGCTTCTGGCAAACCAGAGCAGCGCACGGAAACGCCGTTTACCTTCCCGCCGGAGTGGTACCTATTTATCTACAGTCATACCTCGAGTTGAATGTGCTTCGGGTTGAGCACGTTCGAGTTGCGCACCGCAGCAACCCAGAAGTAACGGAGCGTGTTACGTCTGGGTTTCGCCGTTCGTGCATGCACAGACGCTCAAAATGACATCACATGCACGCGCGGAAGCGGTGAAACGCAACCCATGCACGCGCAGATGCGCTGTCGCATCTTGCATTCCGTTTGGGATGCGAGCGGGGCTCCGGAACGGATCCCGTTCGCATCCCGAGGTACCACTGTGCTTGCACTTTGACGTGCTTTTGAACTGCTAGGTTGGCAGGAGCAGGGACCGAGTAACGGGAGCTCACCCTGTCACAGGGATTCGAACTGCGACCTTCTGATCGGCAAGTCCTAGGCTCTGTGGTTTAACCCACAGCGCCACCCGCGTCCCAAGTAACTGTAAGGGTGACCTTGGGGGCCGGTAATTTGGCTTGCTGTCATTCTGACCTACCCCGCAGGGTTACTGTGAGGATAAAATAGGGAGGAGCAGAACCATGGACCCCCCCTTCAGCTCTCTGGAGGAAAGTTGGGATGTAGATGGAACAACAGCGCGAAATATAAAATAAATATATGAGACATGCCAAGCTAATTGCATGTCTGTTGACGTCAGCACACATGGCTATCTTAGGGCCTATTCATGTCAGTGGGTCTACTCTTGAGTTGGATTTAGTCGGCTGTATCTCTCGGCCAACCGGGCCCTGCTCCGTGACAGTTAAGCGGAACCTCCACATCCAGGGGCAGTTGAGCCCGACTCCTCCTTACCTTAATGGACTCCACCAAGTCGTCCACCAGGAAGAGGCGCTGGAGGGACTTGGTGCCCGACGTGACGTAGAAGACGACCCGCTCCGTGAGGCGCTCCAGCTGCTCCTTCGACAGCCCCAAGTCGGCGTCCAGCTGGGCCCTGGCAAAGATGGGATGGGTGGGTGAGCAAACGCCAGGCGACCTCGTCAGAGGCAACCTTAAGAAGCCCTGCACATCGCCAGCTCATATTATGCTCCTCCAAAGTGGTATGGGAGCGGGTTGGGCTAGATGACCGCTGGGGGTACCTTCCGATTCTATGATCCTGTGGTATGCTTTTGCAGCTGGTCTCCTGGAGAGAGGGAGATTTACTGGGAAGCAAGGTGCAGGGGGATTTTGGGGTGCCATTCAAGGATGGAAGGCTGAGCCCCAAGCAGAAGGCGGTGAAGGTCCTGTGTGAGTGTCTGGAGGCAGTTGGAAGATGGATGGCGGCTAAGAGATTGAGGTTGAATCCTGACAAGACAGAAGTACTGTTTTAGAGGGACAGGAGGCGGGTGGTTGTGGAGGACTCCCTGGTCCTGAATGGGACAACTGTGCCCCTGAAGGACCAGGTGCTCTGCCTGGGAGTCATTTTGGTCGCTCAGCTGTCCATGGAGACGCAGGTCAATTCTGTATCCAGGGCAGCTGCCTACCAGCTCCATCTGGTACACAGGCTGAGACCCTCCCTGCCCGCAGACTGTCTGGCCAGAGTGGTGCATGCTGTAGTTATCTCCCGCTTGGACTACTGCAATGCGCTCTATGTGGGGCTACCTTTGAAGGTGACCCGGAAACTACAACTAATCCAAAATGCGGCAGCTGGACTGGTGATTGGGAGCGGCCACAGAGACTATATGATGCCAGTCTTGAAAGACCTACATTGGCTCCCAGTATGTTTCCGAGCACAATTTAAAGTGTTGGTCTGACCTTTAAAGCCCTAAACGGCCTCGGTCCTGTATACCTGAAGGAGCTTCTCCACCCCCATCGTTCTGCCCAGACACTGAGGTCCAGCGCCGAGGGCCTTCTGGCGGTTCCCTCATAGTGAGAAGCCCAGTTACAGGGAACCAGGCAGAGGGCCTTCACTGTGGCATCCACCTGTGGACCGCCCTCCCAGCAGATGTCAAAGAGAAAAATAAGTACCAAACTTTTAGAAGACATCTGAAGGCAGCCCTGTTTAGAGAAGATTAAGGAAGCATGCCTGGCATGCTCTGGTCCATGGGGTCACAAAGAGTCGGACACGACTAAACGCCTAAATAACAACAACAAATCTTATATTTTGGAAATGTACATCCAGGTTTTTTTCCTTTAATTTTGTTGGGGCCTCCAAGAGAGTGGGGCCCTAAGCTATCGCTTGTTTAGCTTATATGTAAATCTGGCAATGCGGCCTGCCTTTTCCTAAGCCAGACCATTGCTCCGATGATGGAAGGGGCAGGATGGAGGGCAGGGAGGCTGACAGCAGGGGGCGCCAGAGCCAAGGACTGGTGGAACCAACGAATTCTAGGTTGTGTAGTTACAGCCTCTACCCCAAGCAGAGACATCACCTTGCCGACAAAGGTCCGTATAGTTCAAGCTATGGTTTTCCCAGTAGTGATGTATGGAAGTGAGAGCTGGACCATAAAGAAGGCTGATCGCCGAAGAATGGATGCTTTTGAATTCTGGTGCTGGAGGAGACTCTTGAGAGTCCCATGGACTGCAAGAAGATCAAACCTCTCCATTCTGAAGGAAATCAGCCCTGAGTGCTCACTGGAAGGACAGATCCTGAAGCTGAGGCTCCAAGACTTTGGCCACCTCATGAGAAGAGAAGACTCCCTGGAAAAGACCCTGATGCTGGGAAAGGTGGAGGACATAAGGAGAAGGGGACAACAGAGGACGAGATGGTGGGATGGTGTTCTCGAAGCTACCAGCATGAGTTTGACCAAACTGCGGGAGGCCGTGGAAGACAGGAGGGCCTGGCGTGCTCTGGTCCAGGGGGTCACCAAGAGGCGGACACGACTAAACAACAACAACAACAATGGGGCTGGTGGGTGCCTTGCGGTTCACTCACTGGAAGGGGTTGTGTCCCTCCCCTCGGTGGACGGCGAGTAGTATTTTGCTGTAAACCCTGAGAGAGATGGTGACGCTGAGGGCCGCCAGGGAGACGTAGGAGGCCACGCTGATGATGCTGAAGTGCAGCAGGCACAGCAGGGCCACCATCAAGGCGGTGAAGACGAACGCCGACTTGCGGGTGTCGCGCCAGTACACCAAATCTGCCACTGCAAGCAAAGGAGAAACAACATCTGCATGACACTGCAAAGAGAGAGATAAAAACCACCCGTCTTGCTAATCCTCATGACCAGTGCCGGATTTACGTATAAGCTAAACAAGCTATAGCTTAGGGCCCCACTCTCTTGAGGCCCCCCCAAAAAACGTAAAGGAAAAATAACAACTGGATGTACATTTCCAAAATATAAGATAATAAAACAAATTAAAACCTACATACAGCAACAATGTTTTGTGTTGTGTAGGCTCCTATGATGTAAGTAATGGGCCCCGCCTGCTCGCCTGCTCCCTAAAATATCACTGGTTTGCTCCTTTCTATATATAGGGTGCCTACATTCTGCATGGACTGATTGCATGGCAACATGTGCAAATGGCTTGAGATAACTAAAGGTAAAGGTAAAGGGACCCCTGACCATCAGGTCCAGTCTCTGTGGCCAACTCTGGGGTTGCGGTGCTCATCTCGCTTTCTTGGCCGAGGGAGCCGGCGTACAGCTTCCGGGTCATGTGGCCAGCATGACTAAGCCGCTTCTGGCGAACCAGAGCAGCGCACGGAAACGCCGTTTACCTTCCCGTCAGAGTGGTACCTATTTATCTACTTGCACGTTGACATGCTTTCGAACTGCTAGGTGGGCAGGAGCAGGGACCGAGCAACAGGAGCTCACCCCGTCGCAGGGATTTGAACCGCCGACCTTCTGATTGGCAAGTCCTAGGCGCTGTGGGTTAAACCACAGCCACAGCGCCACCTGCGTCCCTGAGATACCTATTAGGCTCATAAATTACCATATAGCATATATTCAACACACACAAAACAGCGGCAATTTGTTGTTGACAAAGGACAGCTGGACATATAAAGGGCCTCACTACCTTCAGTAGCTTAGGGCCTCATCAAACCTAAATCTGGCCCTGCTCATGACACCAAATCCCTGCCACTGCAGGGAGAAAGCGAAGCAAGCAACAGCAACTTCATTGTGCCATAGAGAGAACCACCCATGTTGCTAGACCTCATGAAGGTGTAGGGATTTGCAACATAGCAGGCAAGAAAAGGGAAGCAAGAGGCACTAAAACAGGGGTCAGCAAACTTTTTCAGCAGGGGGCTGGCCCACTGTCCCTCAGACCATGTGGTGGGCCGGACCATATTTTGAAAAAAAATAAAAATGAATGAACTCCTATGCCCCACAAATCACCCAGAGATGCATTTTAAATAAAAGCACACATTCTACTCATGTAAAAACACACTGATTCCCGGACCGTCCGTGGGCCGGATTGAGAAGGCGATTGGGTCGGATCCGGCCCCCAGGCCTTAGTTTGCCTACCTAGTTTCAGAACCACCATGAGGGATCGAGCAACATCATCATCTCAGGTCTGAAATTTAAAGCACTGGCTTTTCAACGCACTCCAAAACTTTTCTAGACCCTGCCTGCTTGGTTCCTTAAACTCGCCCCAGTGCCCCCTACCCCGCCCTATAAAAAGCATTATTCAGAATAGCAGTTTGCAAGACCTGCTGAGAAAGGCAATACAGTAACATAATATGATTCAAAATAGTGGTAGAGGTTGAAAAAAAGAAACTGCAGAAAGGAGATCTTTTGTAATATAGTCCAAAACCGAGTTGAAGGGAAGTCAAATAAGGATGTGTTGTTTAATTACTGTATGTTCTGTTTTTTTATGTTTGTTGTTGTTTTGTCTTTGTTTGGTGTTGTATAGCTAATTGAAACTAATAAAAAGAAGTTAAAAAAACAACAACAACAAAACGAAATAGTGGTAGACCAATTGCACATTTGTTCCAAATCCAATTGAAACTATTTGATTTCAGTAATTCAACCAAGCTGGGAACTTGCAGCACAAACACTGTACGCCCAAAGATGGGAAGAAGGAGAGGTTCCAACCGAGGAAGAACAGCTTTTGAAAAGGAAGGCGGAGGATGCAGAACTGGCAAGATTAGCGACCAAAACGACGAAAAAGTTCCTTGAGGACTGGAGACCTTTCACTGAGCTTTTAAAGAACTAAAATAGCAGGATGAAAACACGAGCAGGGCTCGAATTATGAGCAACTGTGTTAATTAGTGAGATAAATAGGTAAAATGAATGAATGGAATAGCATTTCCGAAGGGAAATAGGGAAAGCGTGGAAGGGGAGGGCGGGAAGTGAGTGGATAAAGTAAAGGTAAAGGTAAAGGGACCCCTGACCATTAGGTCCAGTCGCGGACAACTCTGGGGTTGCAGTGCTCATCTTGCTTTACTGGCCGAGGGAGCCGGCGTACAGCTTCCGGGTCATGTGGCCAGCATGACTAAGCCGCTTCTGGTGAAGCAGAGCAGTGCATGGAAACGCCGTTTACCTTCCCACCGGAGTGGTACCTATTTATCTACTTGCACTTTAGCGTGCTTTCGAACTGCTAGGTTGGCAGGAGCAGGGACCGAGCAACGGGAGCTCACCCCGTCGCGGGGATTCAAACCGCTGACCTTCTGATCGGCAAGTCCTAGGCTCTGTGGTTTAACCCACAGTGCCACCCGTGTCCCGAGTGGATAAAGTAATTCACAGTAAAAACAAGAAAACCGAGGCACTTGATCCAGTGATAGCAGGTTTTCTGCCTGTGACCGGGGAGGCAGAGCACAGCCATGGATGCAATGAGCCATCGACAGCCCTTTCCTCCTCCGTGAATTTGTCTAGTCCTCTTTGAAAGCCACCAAACTCGGTGGCCATCCCTGTGTCCTGGGGAGTGATGCCCCGGCCCCTGTCCAGCTTTCTCCAACCAGCAGGTTCTGTGGCCGCAGGAGATCCCATGCCGCAGAGGTGAGAGGTCTCCTATCTGCCCCGGGTACTCACCCCTGACTCAGGGTTAAGGTGGGTCACGCTGGCTAAGGGGGGAAACTCAGCACTCCAGGAGAAGAAATCAATCCTCTTCTGACCGCCCCATCCACTCCAGTGTAACGGTCGCATCCTGCACTTAAGTTTCGAAGGAGGGAGCTGCCAGCTGGAAGCTGCTCTTTTGGACCCAGGAGACCTTGCTTCCTCTCCCCAGAGGCTGCCGCTACACCCCAGCAATGGGGAAAGCACTCTGCACACGGTCAGGGGCACCCTTGCTTTCCTCCCTAACCATTGCCATTGTTGCACTTGGTTATATCCCAGGCAAATTGAAAACAGCACAGCTCAAAGCACAGAAAGCTAAAAAGAACAAGGTTGAGAACTAAGTGAACTCTAATAGAATTAAAGCAACGTGTTGTGTGAAAATTCAGATCTGAAAAACAACACTAAGGCCTGTTGGAATAAATAAAGCTGTTTTCCACCTGCCAGGGGAAGGACAGCAAGGAGGAGAGCCAGTCTGGCATCCCTAGGCAGGGTGTTCCAAAGTTGCCTGGGAGGTGCTACCACAGAGAAGACCCTTTCCTGCATTGCCAGGAGCCCCCCTCCCCACGAGGAAGCCTGAGGCTTGGATTTGGACTGGGATCCGAACTCAGGGCTCCAAAGCCCAATCAATCCTCACTATGGCCTTGCGGTGGCCTTTCCTCCCTCTTCCGCCCTGCCCTCCAAGCTCAAGGGGAGCCGGCCCTGCTACGGTTCCACCTAATCCCTGTCTCGCATTTGTAAGAACTCGGGTCTTTTATTGCGGCAGAACCTACCCTTTGGAACTCCCTGCCTAGTGATATCTGGCAGGCCGCCTTCCGCGTCCTCTTTCTGGCACCTGCTAAAAGAATCCTTTTTTGGATAACCAAGGTGCCTGGGAAGCCAGTGCGGGTTTTCTGTTAACTGTTATTTTAACGTTCCAAAAGAATTGTTGCCGTTCGCTCTTCTGACCAATCCTTTCATTGAATTGTCTTCTCTGAAACTGCTCTGAGGGTTGCTTTCGTTTCACAATCCGTCTGTGTGAAGGTTTGACGGAATAAATCCATAAATAAGGGGAGGCCACACCCTTCCGAAGAGATGAATTAGGGAGCCCGTGCTGGGCTGAAAGGTTTGGATGAGTTTGCAAGCCTGCAGTTAGACAGCTGCTACCAGTCAGAGCACGCAATGCTGGATCCAAGGCTCCTCTAGCAACAAGCATCTTCCTGTATGTGCTCAGGTACGGATTCAGGAACAAAGGAAAGATCAGGTTATCTGTCTTTTCAATCCAGTTTAGCCTTGTCTACTCTGACTGCAGCTGCTCTCCAGGGTCTTGGGCAGAGGGGGAAAGGGTTAAACCATTCGCCATCTATTCTCCTTTAGAATAAATAATAATAAATTTATAATTTATACCCCGCCCTCCCCGGCCAGAGCCAGGCTCAGGGCAGTTAACACCAATAAAATCTCAGTAAAAACATAATAGGGGGAAAGGAAGGAAAAGGAAAAACACCCCAATTTAAAATACAGGTCAAAATGCAATTTAAAATGCAGCCTCATTTTAAAATAGCTGATAAATCAAGCCTTGCCCAGCCCCGTGCCCTCCAGATGTCCCAAACTACAACTCCCAGGTGTCGAATCGGGAGATGGGAGTTGTAGTTTGGGACACCCGGAGGGCGCAGGGTTGGGGAAGGGAATCCTTGCGGTTGGCCCCAGCGATCCCGGAGGACGGCGGAGGAGGAGGAGGAGGATGGAAAAAGAACCCAAATGCCTGCAGCTGTCAGAAGTATCACACACACACTCCTCCCTGTTCAACCCCTATAACTGACAGCCCCAAATGCCAGGCAGGCAACTCAGCGAGGAAAAGAGAGGCTGCGACGGGAGGGGGGCGGAAAAAGGCAGGCCCTGGCTGCAGGGATTTGGGGGGGGGGGTCCCACCTACCTACCCACCCACCTCCTATGGCACCCGCATCACGCCCCAAAACGTTGCCTCCCCTGATCTCAACACACCCCCCCCCCAGCCATACAGGATGCCCTTGTCCATCAAAACAGCAGCACACAGCTTCTATGGATTGGGTCCACTTTCCTCCCAGATCTTCCCTCCTCCCGTGTCGAAGTAGCCCAATTGAAGACCCTCGGTTGACACAGCCCCCCCCCCACTTTCTCCCTGGCAAGAAATTCCCCTTTTCAGAGGTCCTTCCACCCATCTTTTAAACTCCACCCAGCTCTGCTCCTCCTTGGGGGGTATAGATATATTTTTAAGTATGTTTTTTTTGGGGGGGTGTTTCCTACCTCTGTTAGCCATGGTGAGCCCCTTTTTCTCGCAGATCCAAGACTCGTCGCGGCTCTGCGGGAACCTCTCACGAGCGTCTGGCTGGAGGAGGGGCGCCCAGTCCTGGGAGGGGGGTGTCGGGGCGGGGGGGGGCTATTTATAGCTGACGAATCCCAGCTGCCATTTACCGTCACAGAATCTCCTGCCTTGGCTTGCTCAGAGAAGGTTCCGATCACCCGGAGGTGGGGGCGGGGAGGCCAAAGGGGGGGAGGCAAGCACCCAATTTCTGGGGGGCAGGGCGGCTGGGAGATGGTCATTTTAGGGTGTTGCAGGAATTTATGTATAGGTTGGGGGGTTGCCCCCTCCAGCAGATATCATGCACATGCAGCCCACTACCAAAACCAGCACAATCGCTTTTGGGACTTTTGTGATTTGTCCCCACAAAACACTTCATCACAGTTTCTTCCTATCTATTCAAAGGGCCTCTGCTGCACGATACCAAATGTAAGAATTCACTGATAAATGCATCTATGTACTGGCTCACTGGGAAACTTCAGAAATTCATATAGACAGGTGAGCTCAGCTACTCAGCAGCCCCTCTGCCTGAGGGATAATCCCTGGCATCCTGATACCTGAGTGCCAGACAGGTAGCCATTCCAGAAAGAACAAACCCAGATGAAGACAAAAGGGTGGGATGAACTTGGCTGGGAAACAGGGAAATGTAAATATCTCTTTTGTTACACTTGATGGGTGTTTGGTGGAGGGCAAGGGGAACCATGGGGCAGGGTCCAGGATGCTCAGATTCCTGCCACCAGACCTCCCCTTTCATGATGTATGAGTGATGTAGTTTGGGGGGTGTAACATGGGGATTAGCAGCTAATAAAAGTTTGGGTTCTCTTTTGTACGGGGCTTCCATCTTGTTCCACCTGGCGGCAGGTGGGAGTCCTGTCGCGACAGTCTGCAATCAAGACCAAGCCTACTGGCTGCTGTTTTGCTCTGGTCTTCCTGGCTGGGGTCCTTGTTTTTTTGTCCAAGGGAGCCCTCAGATTTCTCCGTTAAAAGGGGGGGGGGCACTCCTGGTTTCCATCTGCAGCCAAACAAGGGGTGAGTTTTCCCTCTCTCCTGAAGCTGAATGTTGGAAGGTTCAGGGCAGATTTTTAAAAAAGTTCTTCCTCAAGCAGCGCAGATTGGACTGTGGAACTCCCTGCCACTTGGAGGTTAGGGATGTCTATCAACCTGGATGGCTTTAAAAGAGGATTGGCCAAATTCGGGGAGGCAGCAATGCTTCTGAATGTCAGTTCCTGGGAACTGCAGGGCGGGAGAGGGCTCTTGTGTTCAAATCCTGCTTGGGAGTTTTCCAACGGGGCTTCTGGGCTGCCTCTGTGAGGACAAAGATGCTGGACTGGGTGGGCCCTTGACCTGACCCAGCAGCCAGGATTTTCTTCCGTTCTGATGGAACCTCCAGCTCCATCTCCAGTCTACCCAGAATCCTAGGTTTTGTGAAAACAGTGAAAACAGGGTGCTGGACCCGATGGGACTTTTTCTTGACCCAGACCAAGCTCCTCTTAAACAGCTGCTTTCCTGCAACACGCTTTTAACGCACGATGTCAGAGGAATTAAAGACCCAAAAACTACAACTAATCCAGAATGCGGCAGCTAGATTGGTGACTGGGAGCGGCTGCTGAGACCACATAACAACGGTCTTGAAAGATCTACATTGGCTCCCAGGACATTTCCGAGCACAATTCAAAGTGTTGGTACTCACCTTTAAAGCCCTAAACGGCCTCGGTCCAGTATACCTGAAGGAGCGTCTCCTCCCCCATCATTCAGCCCGGACACTGAGGTCCAGCTCCGAGGGCCTTCTGGCGGTTCCCTCACTGCAAGAAGCCAAGTTACAGGGAACCAGGCAGAGGGCCTTCTCGGTGGTGGCGCCTGCCCTGTGGAACGCCCTCCCATCAGACGTCAAAGAGAACAACAACTACCTGACTTTTAGAAGTCATCTGAAGGCAGCCCTCTTTAGGGAAGCTTTTAATGTTTAACAGACCACTGTATTTTAATACTTTGTTGGAAGCCGCCCAGGGTGGCTGGGGAAGCCCAGTCAGATGGGCGGGGTATAAATAATAAATAATAATAATAATAATAATTATTATTATTATTATTATTATTACTACTACTACTACAATGGTACCTCGGGTTAAGTACTTAATTCATTCCGGAGGTCTGTTCTTAACCTGAAACTGTTCTTAACCTGAAGCACCACTTTAGCTAATGGGGCCTCCTGCTGCTGCCGTGCCGCCGGAGCACGATTTCTGTTCTCATCCTGAAGCAAAGTTCTTAACCTGAAGCACTATTTCTGGGTTAGCGGAGTCTGTAACCTGAAGCGTCTGTAACCCGAGGTACCACTGTACTATTACTTCCAGGTTAAACACAAAACTGGGCTTTTGTGCCCCCAAATAGATTCTGGGTGTACACACATCACCAGGAGATTATATTCTCAGTTCCTCATTCATGTTGCTTTGCGCAGCTCTGTTTAATAGAACTGGGAGCCGGGAGCCAGGAAGTGGGAGCCAACGCCAGCCTTGCAGAGCAGGCTGCATGTGTGAGAGAGGAAGACAAAGAGCGTTCCTTCTCAGGTGCTCAGCCGCAGAGTCAGCTGCCGTGTGAAGGGGGTGGTGAGCGGAGAGAGAGGAATATTTGGGAGTCACACGCAGGAGACCCTCCTGGCTCCAATTCCTGCTCCGCTCAGCACAGAAGCTATTTTTACTCGCTGACTCGACTCGGCTACCATCCCGGTCCGGGCAAGTTGCCAGGGGGGGTGAGTAGGGATGTTTTCTGGGTGAAGAAGGCCTTACTAGGCCAACGCCATGAAAGCTCAGGCATGGCGGGGAGGGGGGGGGAGATGCTAGAAAGCCACAGGCGCCCCCTCCCGCCAATATCCTTTTTTTTAAAAAAATGTTTTTTGTTGGTTTTTCATTTAATACCTCCCCACTAATATCCATGGGCGGCAGCTCACGAGTTGCAGAATAAGGCCTCTAGGTAAGCAGACAACTTGGGAGGTTGCCCTTCCTTTCATTTTAAGATGCAACCACAGGATTCTAGCCCTCATGGAGGCAGCCAGTAAACAAACAAAAAAACGCCCCGCAAATTCTCCGCAAAAAGCTATTAAGGAACAACACCCCCCATCGTTCTCAGGTCACATTCACAGCATACAGGGCTGTGATACAGTCACGACTTTTCCCTCTCCTAAAGAATTCTGGGAGTTATAGTTTGGGGCGCCGAACGTTCTTAGGCAGCGCCCCTAACCCCCCTCGCAGCGCTACCATTCCCAGAGCTGACTGTTTTTGCCGCTCTGGGAATTGTAGCGCAGCCTACGCCTTGTCTGAACAAGCCGCCAGCGGTTCGCTCACCTACGGGGCATTTTTCCAGAGTATTCCCTGATTGGTCCGCCTCTGCTTGACGCTGCTCTGAGACTGGCGCCCGGTCTTCTTCCTCCTCCTCCTCTTCCTCCCTCTGCTCCACCTCCTCGTCCCACAACGGGTGTTGGCAGAACTCGGATGAGGTCAGTGCTGGGTGCTGGGTGGTGTCAGCACCGCAGGGGGCGCCCGGTTCCGGGTGGGGCGCTAAGGCGTCGGGTGGCGGCAGGTCCTCCAGGGAAGTTTCTGGGGGGAAGCAGACAGCAGCAGAAGGGTCACAACGCTTTTTATTCCTCTTGGAATCGCAGAATTCCAAAATGACAGACCTGATAAGAAACCACTCGGGCGATACGGTGAAAAAAGGAATGGGACTGCTTCCAAAAACTAAAATATGGTTTCAAAAACAATACTTTGTTTTGCCCAGATTCATTTCACAGTTCTGTGGGAGAAATTGGCGTTAACCAGGGGTCAGCAAACTTTTTCGGCAGGGAGCCGGTCCACTGTCCCTCAAACCTTGTGGGGGGCCAGACTATATTTTGAAAAAATAATAATGAATGAATTCCTATGCCCCACAAATAACCCAGAGATGCATTTTGAATAAAAGCACACATTCTGCTCATGTAAAAACACACTGATTCCCAGAATGTCTGTGGGCCAGATTGAGAAGGCGATTGGGCCTGATCCAGCCCCCGAGCCTTAGTTTGCCTAACCATGATGTTAACAAATGAATATAGAATATTCGCTACTTAAGGAAAGTATTGAAACCGCAAAGAGATAGAGGGAATTTAACCAAAATAGAAGGGATTCAAGCCAGTTTTCCAGAACAGAAAGAAAGAAAGAAAGAAAGAAAGAAAGAAAGAAAGAAAGAAGAATACAAATGTAATCTCTTTCTGGGAACTTGGCGTATAGAATAATCAAATCACTGTTCTTATCCTTTGAATAATTTGGTGTATTTGATCAATTCCCCCCCCCCCTTCCTTTTTCTTTCTATATTCCTTTTATATCTTTATTTTTTTGTTTTTTATGTATTTTTTGTTTTTAGTTTGAATATTTGGATGTTATGTTTAATATATGCTTTCTTTGTAAATTTTAAAAAATGCAATAAAGAATTAAAAAATAGAATCGTAGAATAGTTCGGTTGGATGGGACCCCAATGGTCCTCTATTCCAACCCCCGGGCATCCAGGAATCACATGGTATGGATGAATTGATCTGGAATCTCTACCTTGCCTCCTAGTTGTTTATAATATCACACTTTTACACAGATAGAGATAGAGATAGATATGTTGCAAATCTCTGTAATGTTTCTATGGTTGAGATCTGTATAGGGGGAAAATCTTCGTTCTCAGTGCCTCAGATTTGGGGGTTTACCACGTAGAGGCACATTTAAACAAACAATTGATCACCTGCAATTTATCTCTCTATCTCTTTAATAGGAATATTCACAAATAAAATATCAGAGCAGTTTGCAACAGCTGCACGTAAAAACCAGTAGGTATCCAAACAAACTCCTGTGTTGCAAAAGAGAACGTCAACAATGTTTAGGCAACATGATGACCATATATATACGTAATAGACAATCTTTATAGAATTCCTTCAACCAATAACAAGTTCAAAATGAAATCTCAGACTCAAAGTCTCTGAAAGTCTTTAAACAAAGAGAGGTACCAAACTCTGTACGATGAAAGACAAGCTGTGAAGCTTTGTGTATTCAGCAAATATAATGTCCAACACTGAACAGAGATTCCGGATATTGACTGCTGTTTCACATGAGCACTGCTCCACAGCGTTTGATATTTCCATTCACATATATTCATTCAAAATAAGATGGGTTAATGAAACAATTAGGGACGCGGGTGGCGCTGTGAGTTAAACTACAGAGCCTAGGGCTTGCCAATCAGAAGGTTGGTGGTTCGAATCCCCGCGACGGAGTGAACTCCCGTTGCTCTGTCCCTGCTCCTGCCAACCTAGCAGTTCAAAAGCACGTCAAAGTGCAAGTAGATAAATAGGTACCGCTCCGGCGGGAAGGTAAACAGCGTTTCTGTGTGCTGCTCTGGTTTGCCAGAAGCGGCTTAGTCATGCTGGCCACATGACCCGGAAGCTGTACGCCGGCTCCCTCGGCCAGTAAAGCGAGATGAACGCCACAACCCCAGAGTCAGTCACGAATGGAACTAATGGCCAGGGGTCCCTTTACCTTTACAGTGGTACCTCGGGTTAAGTACTTAATTCGTTCCGGAGGTTTGTTCTTAACCTGAAACTGTGCTTAACCTGAAGCACCACTTTAGCTAATGGGGCCTCCCACTGCTGCCGCGCCGCCGGAGCACAATTTCTGTTCTCATCCTGAAGCAAAGTTACTATTTCTGGGTTAGCGGAGTCTGTAACCTGAAGCGTATGTAACCTGAAGCGTATGTAAGCCGAGGTACCACTGTACCTTTATGAAACAATTCCATATTCTCCCACCACGCTGACGAAGATCTACGAAACAGCTTATCTTTCATCGTACAAATCTGAAGGAATTCTATAAGGATTGTCTAAACATTGCCTAAACATTGCATGTAAAAACCATACGGTAAAAGCCGTGCTTAAAAGGGTTTTTTTAAAAAAACAAAAACATTGTTTTTAAAGACACCAGAGGCGTTTTCCTCGCCTGGGCAAAGAAGCAAAGGCGAGAGTCGTGTTTCGTGGCCACAGTTCCACCCCACGGCATCCCCTCGCGCTCCCCCTGGGGCGCCCATTTCTGGGTACCCCTCCCCGTACCTGAGGACGACTTGCTGCTTCTGCTGCTGCTGCTGCTCTGGCCCCCCACCAGTGCCTGCGCCAGGGGGCTGTGCCTCTGCGACCCTGGTGCCCCCTCTCCTTCCCCTCGGTCTGCTTTGCCCACGGAGCCTGCATGGGCTTCCCAGCCCAAGAAAGGGTCCAGTCCTTGGCCGTCGCCCGGAGGGGGCACCCCCTCTCCCTCGGGGGACGGACAGAGGCTGGGGATATTCTCCAAACTGTCCCCCAGCGCCGGCACAAAGGTCTCGCAGGTGTCCGTACGCGGCAGCGGGGCCCGCGCCCGGCGGGTCTGGGAGTCGCGCCTGCCCCGGGGGGCGTGCTCCCCCAGCGTTGGGCTGCTGTTGAGGGGCCCCGCGATGGTGATGTAGGAAAAAGTCAGCTCCCGGGGGGTCCCCCACTCCAGAGACACCTCCTCGTCTTCCTCGTCCTCCGAGAACTCCCTCGCCGTCTGTAGTTCAGGGAAGTCGGATTCATCGTTGCCACCTGGGGAGGGAAAAACGTCACGGGTGTCCCTTGCAGGTATAAGATCACCTCCATCTGGATTCAATTGCCCCCCCCCCCGTCATTTCTCTTCCCTCTGTGTTGGTGGTCACAGTGTGTGTGTGTGTGTGTGTGTGTGTGTGTGTGTGTTAAGGGGTGATATGATAGCCATGTTCAAATATATAAAAGGATGTCACATACAGGAAGGAGAAAGGTTGTTTTCTGCTGCTCCAGAGAAGCGGACACGGAGCAATGGATCCAAACTACAAGAAAGAAGATTCCACCTAAACATTAGGAAGAGCTTCCTGACAGTGAGAGCTGTTCGACAGTGGAATTTGCTGCCAAGGAGTGTGGTGGAGTCTCCTTCTTTGGAGGTCTTTAAGCAGAGGTTTGACAACCATATGTCAGGAGTGCTCTAATGGTGTTTCCTGCTTGGCAGGGGGTTGGACCCGATGGCCCTTGTGGTCTCTTCCAACTCTATGATTCTATGATTCTGTGTTTGTCTCCAGAAATTTTTAGACATCACTTGGGAAGACAGGCGAACTAATACCAGTGTACTGGAAGAAGCAAATATCACCAGTGTCGAAGCAATGATTCATCAACATCAGCTTCGTTGGACTTGTCATGTTGTGCGGATGCCTGATGATTGTCTTCCAAAGCAACTACTCTATTCCCAACTTAAAAATGGAAAGTGTAATGCTGGTGGTCAACAAAAGAGGTTCAAAGACTCTCTCAAGGCAAATCTTTAAAAATGTAGTATAAACACCGACAACCGGGAAACATTGGCCTGCGAGTGCTCCAGTTGGAGAACAGCCTTGACCAAAGGTGTCATGGGCTTTGAAAACACTCGAACTCAGGACGCAAGGGAGAAACGTGCTAAGAGGAAGGCACACTTGGCAAACCCTCACCAGGATCAACTCCCACCCGAAACCAAGGTCCCCACTGTGGAAGGATGTGTGGATCCAGAATTGGCCTCCACAGTCACTTACAGACCATAAGCCGTGTTAAAGCCGTGTTTGTGTGTGTGTGTGTGTGTGTGTGTGTGTTTATAATTTATTTTTACTGAGTTTTTAATAATACAAAAAGAAAAAAGAAAGTACATCCTACAAATACAACAACACACAAAAATAATTTACTATTTACACAAACATAAATCCTTCCCACCCCCTTTACATTCCTGCCACCACACTCCTCAACTTCCCTCCACCACGACTTCCTTATTTTTTAAATTCGATACCATCATTGCGCTCTTTGGGTTTTGATCATCTAGTCCAAGTCAGGAATATGCAGCTGTCCCAAACGGGGATCAAACCTGCAACCTTGGCCTTATCAGCACCGCGCTCTAACCAACTGAGCTCTAATACTTTATTATCTCTTTGGAGCTGCACTTTGCCCTTTTGTCCTTCCAGCCTGTGACACTTTCTGATTTACATATTGCACCGATTGTTTTCTTTCTCTAAGAAACCTGGGACCCTCCCAAGTAGGGTCTTAACCAGGGTTTGTGAGCTCAGTCTTGGCATAGCTGTCAACTTTTCCCTTTTTTAAAAGGAAATTCCCTTATTCCGAATAGGATTCCTCACAAGAAAAGGGAAAAGTTGACAGCTATGAGTCTTGGGCAGCTGTGCAAAACGTCCTGGGGTTACTCACCATCTGTGGAGTCAGGTGTGGTGGAAGCGGTAGACGGAGACTCTTCTGAAAAAGACAGAGGTAAGACCTTAGAAGGGGACGCGGGTGGCGCTGTGGGTAAAACCTCAGCGCCTAGGATTTGCCAATCGCATGGTCGGCGGTTCGAATCCCCGCGGCGGGGTGAGCTCCCGTCGTTCGGTCCCAGCTCCTGCCCACCTAGCAGTTCGAAAGCACCCTTAAGTGCAAGTAGATAAATAGGTACCGCTTTATAGCGGGAAGGTAAACGGCGTTTCCGTGTGCTGCTCTGGTGCCGGTTCGCCAGAGCAGCTTCGTCACGCTGGCCACGTGACCCGGAAGTGTCTGCGGACAGCGCTGGCTCCCGGCCTCCAGAGTGAGATGAGCGCACAACCCTAGAGTCTGTCAAGACTGGCCCGTACGGGCAGGGGTACCTTTACCTTTTTAAGACCTTAGAGCCCAGAGCCACTAACACACACACACTTTCAGTAATGCACGACAGGGAGACTGACGTTGGTCCCTGGTTCGAATCTCGGCGACGCCATGAATTCATCACATGGCTCTAAGAGGCCAGTCCTTCTCTCCTGGCTACAACGCAGGAGTGGGGAATCTTAAAGGGCTTTTTGTGCAACGATTATGGAGATGATGCGGTCAAAATGATCAGAACCCTGGACATTAGAAGATGCCACCGCTTAGCGGTCAGAACACCAGGTTAGGAAGACACGGGTTCAAATCCCCACTCAACCAAGAGGAGGCTTACTGGCTGGCTGTTGTCCTAACTCACAGGGTGGTTGTTCTGAGGTTGAGACAGCAAACTGTGTACTCATTTTTTCTTTGTCTTAAGATCCTTGGAGGAAGATTGTCTTATAAATGTTGAGTCAAATCATTGGCCCCATTTACTATCATCGGCCTATTATTAAGGGACGCAGGTGGCGCTGTGGGTTAAACCACTGAGTCTAGGGCTTGCCAATCAGAAGGTCAACGGTTTGAATCGCCGCGATGGGGTGAGCTCCCGTTGCTCGGTCCCTGCTCCTGCCAACCTAGCAGTTCGAAAGCACATCAAAGTGCAAGTAGATAAATAGGTACCACTCTGGCGGGAAGGTGAACGGCGTTTCTGTGCGCTGCTCTGGTTCACCAGAAGCAGCTTAGTCCTGCTGGCCACATGACCCGGAAGCTGTACGCTGGCTCCCTCGACCAATAAAGCAAGATGAGTGCCGCAACCCCAGAGTTGGCCATGACTGGACCTAATGGTCAGGGGTCCCTTTACCTTTACTATTATCGGCCAGAGCTTTTTTCAAGAGATCCTTGAACTGGAGTTGGTGGGGTTGAACCTCTGGTCCCTACGCAGGTAAAACGCATGCTCTGCTGATGAGCTATGACATCAGCTCCCAAACTTTTGCAGACCCCGGCCCCCTCGGTTCCACGAACCCATCCCCCGTGCCCTCGACCCTACGCTCTAAAAAGCATTATTCAGAATTGCAGTTTGCGCAATTCACCAAGAAAGTGAGCAACACAATAAAATTCAAAACGGAAGCAACGTCCAGTTAAAACCACTTAGTTCAATTAACAAAACTGACGAACTTGATCCAGTGATCCTTTCAAAGTCTGAGTCGTTCACACCTCCTGCTTCCTCCTAAGACCCCTTTGCCTTTGAGCACTCCCCTAAGGAATCCCACCTCCCCCAGGGGGGGCCGTACCACTCGCTTTGGGAACCTCTGATGTACAACTGTTAAAACTGAATTGCATGTTGCTGCAGCCCTGGGTCTTAAATGACTGCCTATGATTGCTCTAGAACACTATATACCTTTGCAACACATTATTATTATCATTACATAATGATTTGGCAGCTGATCTGCTGGCAGGGCAAGGTGGATGAGCTGCAGCTATTTATTTGGCGAGGCCATCTGGGCAGGCCATGCCCCCCCCCTCCATGCACACAGGAAATCAAGCAGGAGATCTGGGAAATGACCTCAGCTCACCCCACCCAGGCCTGGGTGTTCTACGCATTACACACTGAATGCACCATCTGGAGCTCTGCCAGCAGTCTGTGCAGGTAAACAAGTCTTGCCCCGCAGTCATCAGCCGGACTCTGCCTTCCAACTGTTGCAGGAATTTATGTATAGGCTGGGGGGGGGGTTGCCCCTCCAGCAGATATCATGCACATGCAGCCCACTACCAAAATCAGCACAATCGCTTTTGGGACTTTTGTGATTTATCCCCACAAAACAGAAGAAGAAGAAGAGTTTGGATTTGATATCCCGCCTTTCACTCCCCTTCAGGAGTCTCAAAGCGGCTAACATTCTCCTTTCCCTTCCTCCCCCACAACAAACACTCTGTGAGGTGAGTGGGGCTGAGAGACTTCAGAGAAGTGTGACTGGCCCAAGGTCACCCAGCAGCTGCATGTGGAGGAGCGGAGAATCGAACCCGGTTCACCAGATTACGAGTCCACCACTCTTAACCACTACACCACACTGGCTCATCACAGTTTCTTCCTGTCTATTCAAAGGGCCTCTGCTGCACAATACCAAATATAAGAATTCACTGATAAATGCATCTATGTACTGGCTCACTGGGACAACTTCAGAAATTCATATAGACATGTGAGCTCAGCTACTCAGCAGCCCCTCTGCCTGAGTGATAATCCCTGGCATCCTGATACCTGATACCTGAGTGCCAGACAGGTAGCCATTCCAGAAAGAACAAACCCAGATGAAGACAAAAGGGTGTGATTAACTTGGCTGGGAAACAGGGAAATGTAAGTATCTCTTTTGTTACACTTGATGGGTGTTTGGTGGGGGGCAAGGGGAGCCATGGGGCAGGGTCCAGGATGCTCAGATTACTGCCACCAGACCTCCCCTTTCATGATGTATGAGTGATGTAGTTTGGGGGGGTGTAACATGGGGATTAGCAGCTAATAAAAGTTTGGGTTCTCTTTTGTTTGGGGCTTGTTCCACCTTGTGGGAGGTGGGAGTCCTGTCGCGACAGTCATCAATAAAGACCAAGCCTACTGGCTGCTGTTTTGCTCTGGTATTCCTGGCTGGGGTCCTTGTTTTTTGTCCAAGGGAGCCCTCAGATTTCTACGTTCGTCTCTCACCAGCAGCAGGAAACATCAGGAAGTGATTGCAAGAATGGGACTGGATTTGTGGGACTGGGGTCACTAGGGGGCACTGTGGCACCATGTCCCTGCTTCCTCCACACCCATCCACTAGGGGGCATCACTCAGGGTAGGGGGCCCGAGACAGGAGTGGGGTTCTGATTGCCATGATTTTCTCTGTACAGCTGTACCTTGGTTCTCGAACACAATGTGTTCCGGGAGTCTGTTTGATTCCCAGAACTGTTCGAAAACATCCTGCAGCCAATTGGAAGCCGCGCCGGAGATGTTCAGTTTCCGAAAATCGTTCAAAAACTGGAACACTCACTTCCGGGTTTTGATCGTTTGTGAGCCAATGTGTTCGGCTTCCAAGGTACGACTGTATTGGACTGAAGTCCGCTCGAAATTAAAATTCTCCAACTACAGCCGTGCATTGGGGATTGTTCAAACCATTCAATACTCCAATAAATAAGTAAGTACGTACGTACGTACAGTGGAACCTCGGGTTGTGAACATGATCCGTGCGGGAGGCACATTTCCAACCCGCAGCGCCATGTTTGTGCATGCGCGGGTTGCAATTCAGCGCTTCTGCACATGCGCAAAGCGCAATTTAGCGCTTCTGCGCTGAAACCCGGAAGTAACCCGTTCCGATACTTCTGGGTTCAGCGCGGTACACAACCCGAAAATGCGCAGCCTGAAGCGCCTGTAACCCGAGGAATGACTGTAAGTAATTAAGTATAATTATCACAGTGTGGCGCTTTACATGACCAAGGGCAAAGGGGCAGATCCCTGCCCCAAGAAGATTACAATACAAGACTGAACAACTCCAATATGAAGAAGGGTTGCAGTGTTTGAGACTTTTTAGTTTAGAGAAAGCTGAGTAAAGAGGGGGCACGATAGAAGTTTTAAAAATTATGCAGGGCATAGGGAAAGTGGATAGATAAAAGAGCTAAATATTGGAAGATTCAGGACACATCAAAGAAGTATTTCTTCACTGCAGTGCATAGTTAGACTTTGGAACTCCCTGCCACAGGAGGCAGTGATGGCCACCAGCTTAGATGGATTTAAAAGCGGATTGGACGAATTCATGGAGGAGGAAAGAGCTTTCGTCGGGCTACTAGCCAGGACGGCTGTTCTCTGCCTCCAGGGTTGGAAGTTGGCAATGCCTCTGAATCACAGTTGCTGGAAATTACTGGAGGGAAGAGGGCTCATGGAGTAAGAATCAAGGAGCCCAGGAAGCTGGCTGGCTTCTACAAAGACAGACTATTGATCCACCCAGCTCCACATGATCTGCGCTGAGCTAATGGCTCTCTGGGGTTGCAGGCAGGTGTCCATCTTTGCACTGCCTGGTGATGTGGGGCTTAAGTTCAGGACCTTTCGCACTCACTCTGCGATTGACCTGAGGCTCTCCTTCAAAGAGGCATAACGTGTGTGTTTTTAATCTAAAGGAAGCCTGGATACCCAGGATGTGGGAATGGGCGCCCACCTTATGGACCAACCTATTGCAGGTGGCACTGTGGTCTAAACCACTGAGCCTCTTGGGCTTGCCGATCAGAAGGTCGGCGGTTCGAATCCCCGCGATGGGGTGAGCTCCCGTTGCTCTGTCCCAGCTCCTGCCAACCTAGCAGTTTGAAAGCACACCAGTGCAAGTAGATAAATAGGTACCACTGTGGCGGTAAGGTAAACAGCATTTCTGTGCGCTCTGGCACTTGTCACGGTTCTCCATGTGCCAGAAGCGGTTTAGTCCTGCTGGCCACATGACCCGGAAAGCTGTCTGCGGACAAACGCCGGCTCCCTCGGCCTGAAAACAAGATGAGCGCCACAACCCCATAGTCGCCTTTGACTGGACGTAGCCATCCAGGGGTCCTTTACCTTCTACCTTTTTTTACCCAGAATGCTCTTGGGCCAGACAGGTAAGCATGCCCTGTCACAAGGAGGAAACATCTCAGGTGTGTGGAATTTCTCTTGCCCTCTCCCTTTCTCTGCTTCCACTTGTGTAAGCACAAAGGCGCTTCCGTTTTTTGTTTTTTAATTCTACCTTTTATCTTTTGGCAAGAAAATGAGTTTTGCTTGTTCTGTTAAAAACCAGAAGAGTTTAGCCAGGGGATTACTGGAAGAGTAATCCATTAAGTTGCTTCCCATCTCTTTGAGCCACCTCCCACAGCAACATTTCCCCCAGAACTCAACCCCTGTGCTACGCTGCCAGTATTTAAATACTTCTGCCAAGCCAAGCAAGGGAACACAACCCATTGTGCAAAGCTGGCTCTTGTCAGCTTGTGGTTTGATGCTGTTATGGACTGAAGTTCTCACCCTGGGCCAGCAGGGGGATACTGTAGATAGTTTTCACTCAGGTCCGCATATGCAAATAAGGAACTGAAAGTGACGTTCAGTGATTGGATAGTTACAGAAAGTTGTTACTGTTGCGTTGTAGTTGAGCTCTGCATAAGCCGGTTGGCTGAACCCTTCACTTCAGTTCTGTTCTGGCCTGTGAAGAAGCTGTCTGAAGAATCTCTGTGTCGTCTGATATGTTCACCCACAACTTAACAGATGCCCTTTCTGTCTCCTGTGAAGCTCTGTCACCCTCTGCTTCTCATGCTCCATCATGCGGCCTTGAAGCGCTTCACCTCGCATCGCATCACATAGTGGAAAGAGGCGCAACCGGTGTGGGAGATCATTTTGTTGAAGGGATCTTCCTCTTCCTCCTCCGCTTTTGGTTTCTGGTTCCAGTTGTGACCCGAGGGGTTGGCGCTTGACATCCTGGTAGATTCGGGAGTCTTTGGCAAGATGCTCTGCGGGGAAGGCCAAACATACGAGATATGCGGAAATGGTGCTGCCATCCAGGCCACGGGTCTGGTCTCCCATCCAAAAGCTGTCCGGGGCTGAGCCTGCTTAGCTTCCTGCACGCGCCAGGCGCCCTGCCCACCGAGCTATGCAGGCAAAAAAGAAGACCGCCTGCCCAAAGAAGACCGCCTGTCCATGCCCAACTCTCCCATGCCTGGCTTCCCTTGGCCTTCGGCTCCCCTGAGGCCTCACGCCGCTCCTGGGCCACGTCAAGGAATCCTCCGAGTGGGCCAAGCTCGGCTCTTCCATTTTAGACCTTGAAATTTCAAGGAGATGCAGCTTCCCTAAAGAGTCAGTATCCAAGTGGGTCAGCTTCTGGGGAAAGGGCTGTAGCAGAAGGTCCCCAAGTGCATTTTCAGGTAGGGTGGGGAGCATCCTCTGTCTGAAACCTTGCTCAGCCGCTGCCAGTCCGTGTAGACAATTCTCAGCTAGGTAGACCCAAGGGCTCAAATAAAGCGGTTTCCTATGTCCCCAGGTCCATTTTCAGCTGCAAACATGCTGGAGACGGCACCTTTGTAGAGCAGAAGCCCCACACCTCCAGAAAGTCCACTGAAAAGACACTTTGCTCCCGTGCCAACGTCCCAGCAGCGTGCTAGGAGCTGCACACGACCGCACTTTCACAGCTCCAAACGCTGGAGAATTCTGCTCTGGGTGCTTAGTTGTGTATCCCCCCAACAAAAAAAGTCCACCAGCTGTCAGCAGCCCAAGCTTTAATTCACACAATGTACGTTTCCGAGCACAATTCAAAGTGTTGGTGCTGACCTTTAAAGCCCTAAACGGCCTCGGCCCAGTATATCTGAAGGAGCGTCTCCACCCCCATCGTTCTGCCCGGACACTGAGGTCCAGCTCCGAGGGCCTTCTGGAGGTTCCCTCATTGCAAGAAGCCAAGTTACAGGGAACCAGGCAGAGGGCCTTCTCGGTGGTGGCACCTGCCCTGTGGAATGCCCTCCCACCAGATGTCAAAGAGAACAACAACTACCAGACTTTTAGAAGACATCTGAAGGCAGCCCTGTTTAGGGAAGCTTTTAATGTTTGATGCATTACTGTATTTTAATATTTTGTTGGAAGCCGCCCAGAGTGGCTGGGGAAGCGCAGCCAGATGGGTGGGGTATAAATAATAAATTATTATTATTATTATTACAATGTCTTGCAAGCCTCACTCCCTACAGAAGGTTAATGGAGGGGAAAGTGAGCAATTTCCCCTTGCGCCATCGGAGCCCCTGCTAGCAGGTTTTCAACTTTGCCAGAGACTTCAGCCCAGTTCCCCATCCAGCCGCCTCTGCCCTCTGCCCCTTGCGCTCTGGGAATCCACGGCCTGCCCTGCTCTGAGCAGAGAAACCAGTGAGGTGCCATGGTTGAAGTCTCTGGCCAGGACCTGGGAGAGACCCGGGTTCGAATCCCACCACTCATCCCCACGAAGCTCTCTGGGTGTAATCTTGCCGGCTGCCTTACTGCCCCTTTCAGACTACTAACCTACCTCGCCAGGGTTGTTGTGGGTGTTAAATGAGGACTAGGATCTGGGAGACGGAGGGTTCAAATCCACACTTGTCTGCATGACCTTGGGGTGGGGGCATCCCTTAGCCTAACGTACCCCACATGAGGAGGGAGAAAAAGGTGCGATATAATTGCAACAAATAAATAATATGGACACACCTAATGGCAGCTGTCCCGTGAATCCACGTAAATGCTTTACTGTGATTTGGTCCATGTCCGGCTGTTACCTTGCAATACAATCCTCTGCACACCTTGTTGTTTAATCGTTTAGTCGTGTCCAACTCTTCGTGACCCCCTGGACCAGAGCACGCCAGGCCCTCCTGTCTTCCACTGCCTCCCGCAGTTTGGTCAAACTCATGCTGGTAGCTTCGAGAACACTGTCCCACCATCTCGTCCTTTGTCGTCCCCTTCTCCTTGTGCCCTCCATCTTTCCCAACATCAGGGTCTTTTCCAGGGAGTCTTCTCTTCTCATGTGGCGGCCAAAGCATTGGAGCCTCAGCTTCAGGATCTGTCCTTCCAGTGAGCACTCAGGGCTGATTTCCTTCAGAATGGAGAGGTTTGATCTTCCTGCAGTCCATGGGACTCTCCAGAGTCTCCTCCAGCACCATAATTCAAAAGCATCCATTCTTCGGCGATCAGCCTTCTTTATGGTCCAGCTCTCACTTCCATACATCACTACTGGGAAAACCAGAGCTTTAACTATATGGACCTTTGTTGGCAAGGTGATGTCTCTGCACACCTACACGAAAGTAAGTCTCCATGGGCCTTACTCCTTATTAAACTTATCCGGCACCACAGTCTTGCCCAGAGATTCCTCCCCACAGCCCTCTCCTTTATTCTTCCAGAAAAACACAACAAATGACCTCTATTCCCGTAGCCTTGCACCAAACAGTTCCTTCTATGCACCCTTTTTTAATCAAAGGGAATCTCTCGCGACTGCTGTCCCCCCCTCACTTTTAATCTCTGGGAAAGCCCTACAGTTACATCTTTGGGTGGGGTGGGGTAGTGTGGGTTTATCTCCCAGAAGCTGCAGGGGGTTCAACCTTGGGACGCACCAAACAGCAGCCAAGAGCACGTGCAGAGTGCCGTTTGAACCGGCCTCTTTCCACATCTGCTTTCACAAACGCAAACACAATTAACCGCCCCTCCACACATTCACACGTGAAAACTGTGAGGTCTCTGTGTGTGTGCATGACACAGGGGTGGGGAGCAGGAGTCACAAACGGTGGGTAAACATGTCTATAAATAAATATTTCACAAATGAGCATGGCTCTCAGGACCAGCTGAACACCAGGTCCAGGAGATGAATTGGGAGGGCAACAAAAGTGGGGTTTTTGGGGTGGGAGCACTGGCAAACCCTTCCCATCCCCCACTAGGGAGTGGTACTCCCCTGTCCCCCACATGGAAATCAACCCCCCCCAAATATAATTTTTTTAACGCTATTGAATTGATATTGTTGTTTTTTCTTCCCACACCTGACTGTGAGGAAATGGGCGATGCTTTGAAAAATCGATGACTAGAGAAGAGGCGTCCAAAATGGGCGGTTGGGGTTTTTTGGGGGGGGTTGGAGGAGGGGGGGAGAGAAATAAGGAGCCTTGCCCGCCCTCCCGCCCTCTCTCCCTGCCCCACAAGATACCTACTGCAATGGGCGAATCCCAGGACCTGCCCCATCGCCCGCCTCGTGGTCCATGCGGGATGCGCGCTGCGGCCGCGCTGCCCCCCTGCGCCTCCGCCGCCTCCCGCCGCTGCTCATCTCCCCCGCGGCCCCATCCTGCCCTCGCCGCGGCCCGCCGCCCCGAGGGCAGGCAGGGGGCCGGGGCCGGCCGGAGGCTCGCGGGCCGCCTGGGCGAGGCCGCAAAGGCGAGGCGGGCGAGGAGACAAAGAAACGATGGAGACAAAGGATGCAGGAGAAGATGCAGGAGAGAGAGAGGGATGGAGTCGGAGGAGCCTACCTTGCAGGGAGGGAGGGGCAGGTAAGGAGGGAGGGAAGGAGAGAGGAAGTAGGGTGGGGAAGAGGTCGCCTTGGGGGGGGGGGTCTTTAGGGTGGGGTGAGGGAGGAGGGGTGGTCGTGGAGAGGGAGAGGTCTGGCTCGCCTTAGTAAGGAGAAGGCCCGCCCAGGGAGGAGGAAGGATGGATGGATGGATGGATGGTTGGGTTGCCTGGCTGCCTGCCTGCCACTCAACATGTAGTCCCGCCCTCCTGCTTTCGCTGCAGAGCTGAATGGGGGGGGGGCCGGAATCATCACATGCTGGGGGGTGGCTGAACACCACCAGGTCAACAGGGTGGATATAGGGATCCAAGGGTCATCCAGCCCAATGCAGGAATCACAGGAAACAATCCCTGGCAAATGGCAATAATAATAATAATAACAATAATAATAATAATAATAATAAATACCCCCACCCATCTGGTTGGGTTTCTCCAGCCACTCTGGACAGCTCCCAACAGAATACTAAAAACATGATAAAATAGGGGTCAGCAAACTTATTCAGCAGGGGGCAAGTCCACTGTCTCTCAGAACTTGGGGGGGGGTGGACTATATTTTGGGGGGGAAACGGACAAATTCCTATACCCCCAAAATAACCCAGAGATGCATTTTAAATAAAAGCACACATTCTACTCATGTAAAAATACCAGGCAGGCCCCACAAATTACCCAGAGATGCATTTTAAGTAAAAGGACACATACTACTCATGCAAAAACATGCTGATTCCCTGACCGTCCGCAGGCCGGATTGAGAAGGCGATTGGGCCGCATCCGGCCCCCGGGCCTTAGTTTGCCTACCCATGTGATAAAACATCTGACATTAAAAGCTTCCCTAAACAGGGCTGCCTTCAGATGTCTTCTGAATGTCAGGTAGTTGTTTATTTCCTTGACATCTGGTGGGAGGGCATTCCACAGGGCGGGTGCCACTACCGAGAAGGCCCTCTGCCTGGTTCCCTGTAGCTTCACTTCTTGCAGTGAGGGAACTGCCAGAAGGCCCTCGGCGCTGGACCTCAGTGTCCGGGCAGAACGATGGGGGTGGAGACACTCCTTAGGGTATACTGGTCCACTCTCCTCTCCTGTGGCTTCCAGCAACTGGTATTCAGAGGCATTTAAAGACCCACCCCCCCACTGTGGCTAGTAGCCACTGATAGGCAGGGGTGGCAGCTTAAATTGCCAGCTTGAATTAAATATTGGGGGAAGCAGGTAAGGCCCGCTCCACAAAAACCATCACACCACACGGGTGCACATACACCGTTTGAATGGCAATGCTCATCAACTTTGGGGGCCCCTGGCCCCCTCAAAATATTTTTTTGTGGGGAGATGAAAGGACCTCGGCCCCATGAATTTGGCCCCTATGCTGATAGCCTTGTCCTCTTCAGGGCACAATTGAATGATGGAACTCACTTCCAGGTTGAGATGGATAAATCCAAAAGAGGATTTACGGAGGACTGTTGACAACTGCTAGCCAGGATGGCTGCGCTTACACATCACTTGGGAAGACAGGCGAACTAATGCCAGTGTACTGGAAGAAGCAAAGATCACCAGTGTCAAAGCAACATTTCTTCAGCATCAGCTTCGCTGGACTGGTCATGTTGTGCGGATGCCTGATGATCGTCTTCCAAAGCAACTACTCTATTCCAAACTTTAAAATGGAAAGCGTAATGCTGGTGGTCAACAAAAGAGGTTTAAAGACTGTCTCCAGGCAAATCTAAAAAAATTGTAGTATAAACACCGACAACTGGGAAACACTGGCCTGTGAGTGCTCCAGTTGGAGAACAGCCTTGACCAAAGGTGTCCTGGGTTTTGAAGACACTCTAACTCAGGACGCAAGGGAGAAACGTGCTAAGAGGGAGGCACGCTTGGCAAATCCACACCGTGATCAACTCCCACCCGGGAACCAATGTCCCCACTGTGGAAGGCCGTGTGGGTCCAGAATTGGCCTCCACAGTCACTTGCAGACTCACTGTTCAAACCGTGTTTATGGAAGACAATCTTACTCGGCTACGAAGGATCGCAACAGAAGAAGAAGAAGAAGCTCTGGCCTACACAGTCGGAGGCACAGTCTGAAAACCAGTTGATGGAAACCACAGGAGGGGATAGGGACCTTGTTTGGTCAGATCCTGCTTCCAGGTTTCCCATTGGGGCATCTGGCTGGATACTGTGAGAACACAGGTGGGCTTCTCTTGTGTTCTCATGTGCTGGGATTTCATTTATCTGCGCCTGCTTGCACTGGGAGTGGGTGTGGAGAGCTGTGGCTCATCCGAGTCGAGTCATCCGTCTTCACCTCCTTCTCTCCCACAGCACCATAACTCATTCCTGCCCCATGAGGTCACACAAGCATCATGGGCTGTGTCACAATAAGGTCTAGAACAGAGCTTTCCAAACTGTGCGTCGCTAGAAAGGGGTTATCTTAACCTCCTGTTTGCTTGTGAAACTGAATTACTGTGTCACGAAATGATGCATGTCTAAAAAGCACAACATGGAAAGCTGGTGGGCTAGAGGCTTGCGTTAAAAATGAAACAGAATGAAAGAATGAAGACTAGGGCTCTGAAGAGGTGAGGTTCCTGCAGCCCAGCTGGCCTATGAGTCGTTCTGGAACATGCAGAGCTGCCCGGATAAGGGTGGTTGGTAAAGATTTTATAATGTATATGGAAGAGAGGGAAGAGAGGGTGAAAATTAAACAGGTGGAAATTAAAAACCGAAAAGCAAAGCTGTAAAATAGGGACATAGAATAAGTACTGGTTAAAACAGGGGTCAGCAAACTTTTTCAGCAGGGGGCCGGTCTACTGTCCCTCAGACCTTGTGGGGGGCCAGACTATATGTTGGGGGGGGGAATGAACGAATTCCTATGCCCCACAAATAACCCAGAGATGCATTTTAAATAAAAGGACACATTCTACTCATGTAAAAACACGCTGATTCCTGGACTCTCCGCAGGCCAGATTGAGAAGGCGATGGAGCTGGATCCAGCCCCTGGGCCTTAGTTTGCCTACCCAGGGGTTAAAATAACAAAGTCCAAGTAAGAGAATATCAGCCTTATCTAATCATCAGGTATCAGTCCAGATTTGTAAGATTTGGGGCTGTTTCCCATTGACTTGCAAAGACTATCTGAGCTGCCAACATCATACAGAAGAATGGTTCTTTTGACAATATATCTACGTTGGTGTTATAGAAAACTTTCGGTAACATTAATCTTGGGCGACGTTTTCTTATTACGTCCGTCAAAATGAAATTCCAAAAACATCTTGCACCGGTTTATGTTCCCAAATTCAATTCACCAATTTACAATTAGGTGATGCAGAAGGAAACATATTTGGGCCATTTGCAAAGGAGTGCAATACCAGGATAAAGGTTGCGACCTTCTGGGTTCTGTTTCGTAACCGGCCCGAAGAGGCGCCTGGCTTTAAAAACAGAAACCGTATCTCCAGCTGCTATGAAAGGCACCATCTGGCGGTCAGAGTGGGGGCAGGTGTATCCCGAGTGGGAGTCCCTGCAAAGGCCGCCTCCGACACAGGCGAGGATTAGGGGTTTTTAAACCCCATATTTAGCGCTGGATGAAGAGATTACGAGCCGCTGGGCTAATGCCGAAGCCGAGAGCCAATTGGGAACGGCTTTCCCGGAGGGTGGGGACAGATGGGTGCAGGGCAGGGGGGGTGGAAGCTGCGGGAGTGACCCAGAGACGATGCTGGAAGCAGCCGGGAGCAGAGCAGGAACATTAGGGGTGAACAGCTGATGCTATTTTCGGAAGAGGGGATGATGTGTGGACCGTCTAAAGAGGAAGGACTTTAGCGAAGACCACCTGGGCTGCCACGGTGGTCCCATGGGCAAACCACCATCAGCAACTGAGGCTGCGACGCTGTAACGACTCTCCTCAACTAATGTGCAGCACCCATCGCACAACGGGCGTCAAAAGCTCAGGGACCGCCAGGCGCCAAATTGTGCAGCCTTCCGGAAGAGGGTAGGATCTGCGAGCCACCGGTGACCGACAGCGGGTGGTCGCCAGGGACAAGAGAGATCCCTAGCGCGTCTTTCAAGATGCCAGCCTGAGTCGTCCCTCAAAGAGAGCACTCAAAAGTTGTTTGGGGCTTGTGGTTGCCTCTGCAAGGAGCAGATGGGCCCTTGGCTTGACCCAAAAGGCTCTCCTGTTCTTCTGCTCTTCAAGGACAGCAGCAACACAGGATCCCCAGGGGAGGCCACAGCCCCCTTGACATTGCGGGGAACACGTTGCGCTTCATGGCCAAGCTCCTGAGCATGGCTACTTTCGTGAGGCTCCTGGTGGCCGAAGCCGAGAGAAGGGTCTCTTTGTTGTTCAAAGCGGAGGAGGCCCAGGAAGTCCCCAGTTTTTTCCTGGACAAGCCCCAGACGGAGAAATTTCTGGAGGAAGGAGAGGTGGGCGGCTTGCGGTATGGCCTGGGCTCCATGCAAGGCTGGCGGGCGCACATGGAAGACGCCCACACCGCTCAGCCCCAGCTGCCCGGAGCCCTGGCCGGCTGGGCCTTCTTTGCCGTGTACGACGGGCACGCGGGCAGCACGGTGGCTCAGTTCTGCGCCAGGCACTTGCTCGGGCATGTGCTGGAGGCCGAGGCCCTGTCTGGCCAGGAGGAGGACCCTGCAGCTGTCAAGGAGGCCGTGCGCGAGGCCTTCCTGGCCATCGACAGGCGCATGCAGGACCTGTCGCAGGCGGAGGCCTGGGAGCACGCCGGCACCACTGCCGTGGCCGTGCTGGTGTCGCCCCGGCACCTCTACTTCATCAACCTGGGCGACTCGAGGGCCCTCCTCTGCCGCTCGGCCGCCGTCACCTTCTACACCGACGACCACAAGCCCACCAAGCCGAGGGAGCGGCGGCGCATCGAGAACGCCGGCGGCACGGTGGTGCTGCAGAGGGTCAACGGGTCGCTGGCCGTCTCCCGGGCCCTGGGCGACTTCGGCTACAAGGCCGTGTCTTGGCGTGGCCCCACCGAGCAGCCGGTGTCCCCCGAGCCCGAGGTGTACCAGCTGGAGCGCTGCCCCGACGAAGACGAGTTCCTGGTGCTGGCCTGCGACGGGGTTTGGGACACCTTTGACAACGCGGGGCTGTGCGCCTTCGTGCGCTCGCGACTCTGCCTCACCGGCAGCCCGCGGGACGTCTGCGAGTGCGTGCTGGACTCCTGCCTCTACAAGGTGAGGGAGGAGGATAAAGACAGGGGGCTCTCACTTAGAATCATAGAATTGTAGAGATGGAAGGGGCACCCAGGGGTCATCTATTCCAAACCCCCGCAATGCAGGGATCTCAGCTGAAGCATCCATGACAGGTGACCATCCAACCTCTGCTTCAAAACCTTCCCAGGGGCTTTCAGTATCGTGGAAATTGCGGCCAACTAGATTTCTAGAAGGGAATCGGGTGGTGCTGTGGGTTAAACTGCGACGGGGTGAGCTCCCGTTGCTCGGTCCCTGCTCCTGCCAACCTAGCAGTTCGAAAGCACATCAAAGTGCAAGGAGATAAATAGGTACCACTCTGGCGGGAAGGTAAACAGCGTTTCCGTGCGCTGCTCTGGTTTGCCAGAAGCGGCTCAGTCATGCTGGCCACATGACCTGGAAGCTGTACGCCGGCTCCCTCGGCCAGTAAAGCGAGATGAGCGCCGCAAACCCAGAGTCGGCCGCGACTGGACCTAACAGTCCCTTTACCTTTACCTTTAGATTTCTAGATGTCTCAGATTATTGAGATTGAGGCCTATAGGAAGGAAGTTGAGCAGTTGAGGGAGTGATGCAGGAAAAACAACTTACTCCTTAACTTAAAGAAAACAAAAAAGATTATTGTGGACTTTAGGAAACGTAAATTAAATATTTAGCCACTCATTATTGAGGGGAAGTGTGTGGAACAGTACTCGGTGTTTCAGTTTCTGGGAATGGAGTTGAGAGATGACCTAACCTGGGGAGAAAACAGTAAAGACCCGATGAAGAGAGCACAGCAGAGGTTATATTTTCTGAGAATCCTCTGGAAAAATAATCTCTCAAAGGACCTGTTGATGGCATTTTACCATTGTACTGTGGAGAGCGTACTAACTTATGGTCTCTGTGTGTGGTTTGGGAGCTGCACGGTCAGGGAAAAAACAATGCTGTCCAGGGTTGTAAAGACTGCAGAGAGAATAATTGGGTGCACTCTTCCCACCTTGGATCAAATCTACGCTTCCAGGTGCCATAAGAAAGCTGCAGAGATAGCGCAGGATAGTGCACACCCAGGAAATGATCTCTTTCAGCTTCTGCCTTCTGGAAGAAGGTCCAGGGTTATAAAGACTAGGACTAGCCGCCTGAGAATAAAGATTATCGTATCGTATCGATTCTTGCATTGAAGGGGGTTGGACTACTTAGCCCTCGGGGTCCTTTCCAGCAATACAATTCTTTGATTCTAATGACAGTGTTGGAAGGGGCACCCAGTGCCCATCTAGTCCAAACCCCCCCCATTATTATTGATGCCTTTGCAAAACACAGAATAAATAAAACTCATTACACGGTTAAAATAATTATTAAAACCAGACAAGCGTTTGCTCTCCTGAAAAAAATGTAACTTACCATCCCTTACAAATGTTTCTGCGGTGGTGATAACGCCAGGGCTGCAGGTTCGAACCCTGTATGGGACAACATTTCAGGGGGTTGGACTAGATGATGTTCAGGGCCCCCTTCCCACTCTACATTTCTGTGATTCTACGAGTCCTTAAAATTGCCATTTTAAAGGCAAAACAGGCCTCTTTCTCAGAGGTGTATGGAGACCTGTCCCTTAATAAAAAGTTGGCTATCCAATTGACCTCCCAGCTGGGAGATGTAAATCATTGAACAAGGCTGCTCCTAAGTTTTCGTAGTTTGAGCAAACCAGTAAGTGGGGTAAATCATACGGCATGCTATCTCCAAATGGGAGGACTCTGGAATCCAGAAATAGCATCCTTCAGCTAGGGCAAGTTGCATAGAAAGGAACCGCAGAACTTGCAAATGCTTTTCCTCATTCCCTGGCAAGAATGCAGGGATCACAGCTAATGCAACCCTGACGGCCTTCCAATCTCTGCTTAAAAAGCTCCAACGATGGAGATCCCTCTGCCTTCTGAGGGAATCCATTCCACTGTCAAACAGCTCTTGCAGCCCAAAGGTTCATCCCAAAATAGCGACAGGAGGTGCGTCTTTTTAGAACCCACCTTATTTTGACAATGGCAGGGTGTTCTAAATTCTGTTTAATATTGTGATTTGATCTCATAACCCACCCTGGGACCTGAGGGGGAAGGGCGAGTAACCGCGGAAATGTTGTTGTTGTTGTTGTTTAGTCATTTAGTCATGTCCACCTCTTCGTGACCCCCTGGACCAGAGCACGCCAGGCACTCCTGTCTTCCACTGCCTCCCGCAGTTTGGTCAAACTCATGCTGGTAGCTTCGAGAACACTGTCCCACCATCTCGTCCTCCGTCGTCCCCTTCTCCTTGTGCCCTCCATCTTTCCCAGCATCAGGGTCTTTTCCAGGAGTCTTCTCTTCTCATGAGGTGGCCAAAGTATTGGAGCCTCAGCTTCAGGATCTGTCCTTCCAGTGAGCACTCAGGGCTGATTTCCTTCAGAATGGAGAGGTTTGATCTTCTTGCAGTCCATGGGACTCTCAAGAGTCTCCTCCAGCACCAGAATTCAAAAGCATCCATTCTTCAGCGATCAGCCTTCTTTATGGTCCAGCTCTCACTTCCATACATCACTACTGGGAAAACCAGAGCTTGAACTATACGGACCTTTGTTGGCAAGGTGTTGTCTCTGCTTTTTAAGATGCTGTCTAGGTTTGTCATTGCTTTTCTCCCAAGAAGCAGGCGTCTTTTAATTTCGTGACTGCTGTCACCATCTGCAGTGATCATGGAGCCCAAGAAAGTAAAATCTCTCACTGCCTCCATTTCATAGAATTACAGAGTGGGAAGGGAACCCCAGGGATCATCCAGTCCAACCCCCTGCAATGCAGGAATCGCAACTCCTTGAAAGGAAAGGAAAAACTACTCCCCTTCCCCAGAATGAAAATTAAAGTATTAAGCAGGCTGAAGAAATAATAATAATATAAAAATTATTATATTATATTATATTATATTATATTATATTATATTATAATAAAGAAATAATAATAATAATAATAATATATTATTTATACCCCGCCCATCTGGGTGTTAAACCAACCAACCCAAGTTTAGAGGAACCTGCGATCTACCTGGCTTAACTGGATCTGTGGGACTTTCTACATTCAGTTTTAAGATTTTTGTTGCCCTGTGGGAACCTTTTCCTTCTCCTGCTGGGCATTTATCTCCATTCCTGGGCCCAGCCATGATTAACACACATCAGCCTCCTCCCCCAAGGGCTTAAGGAAGCAGCTGCCAACTGAGGGCACTGGAGGTCCAGGATTAGCGAAGCAGGACAGTGGAGCATCAAGAAGTCGTTTAGGAGGAGCAAGAAAGGTGAGTTTCCAGAAGAGTTTGTTAAGGAGCTGCGGTCCGTAGAGCATCTTGAAGGAGGTTCAAGCAGCAGGTGAGGGGAACAGGTGTCCCTCCGAATTTCACTGGGCTCCAGGGAACTGTCCTGCCCCTGCTTTAAAGATAACGGAAAAGATAAGCTATAGAATCTCATAATTGTAAAGTTAGGAGGGTCCTCCAAAGGTCATCCAGTCCAACCCCTGCAATGCAGGAGTCACAGTTCCACAGGCAGGGCGTTCCACAGGGCGGGTGCCACTACCAAGAAGTCCCTCTGCCTGGTTCCCTGTAGCTTGGCTTCTCGCAGCAAGGGAACTGCCAGAAGGCCCTCGGCGCTGGACCTCAGCGTTCGGGCAGACCGATGGGGGTGGAGACGCTCCTTCAGGTATACTGGACCGAAGCCGTTTAGGGCTTGAAAGGTCAGCACCAACACTGATGCTATTAAAAATGCTATTAAAAAAGCTGCACATTCTCACTTTCTTTGCACCATGCATAACTGCGCACACCTCTAACATGCTGTCTGCACCCCCAAAATACGTGCCCTTTTTCTCTGCTAAAAAACCCTCCAGATATTGCAACTTTTCCTCCTCTAAGGAGTCAAAGCATTGCCTGTAAACGGACTGGGCTGGCTCTGTCTCGTGCATCTGGGAGGAAGGAAACGGATTTGGGCCTTGAGATGTTTGTCCAGGGAGAATAAGGTTATCCAGGTTGAAGGAGATGGTTGTCACCCTTGCAAAACAATTGCTTTGCTAAGCAGGTGGGAGGACACAATCCTCAGACCACTCTACGCCATAGCTGTCAAGCGCCCCTTATTTGGCAGGACAGTCCCTTATCCCAGCGCCATGTCCCGCTGCTGTCCCTTATTGATGAGGCTCCGTTTGGCTGCTGGCTGGGCTTTCTGCCTTTGGCTCGGAGGGGCTCAGAAGTTGAACATACCTGTGCCCCTTGGAAAATCCCTTATTTTGGCTGCTGATCCCTTATTTTCGAGGCTGCTGGTCCCTTATTTTCAAATCTGTAAGTTGACAGGTATGCTCTACGCTCTCCCTGCAGGGCAGCCGTGACAACATGACCTGCATCGTGGTCTGCTTCCCAGCTGCCCCGGGCGTCTCCCAGGAGGCCTTGCAGAAGGAGCAGGAGCTGGACGCTTCTCTGGAGAAGAGGGTGGCAGGTGCGTATGCCGTTGGCGCTGTGATGGAGCGAGGCCTGGGAGGCCTCGTTGGCCGCTGGCAAAAGGGAGGAGTGGGATTTTGAGAACGGGGAGGAAAAATAACAGAAGGCAAAGTAGTGCTGTGAGGTTTTTTTTGGGGGGTCAGTTTGGATGATGCCCTGGGTCCCTTCCAGTTCTTAGGGTCCGGTACCCACGTGAGGGTTAGAATCTAACAGAGGATTCTGTGGGTGAGCTACTCAGACAGGTTCCTTTGCACAACAATGAGCTAAAGCATGGGTAGGCAAACTAAGGCCCGGGGGCAGGATCCGGCCCAATCGCCTTCTAAATCCAGCCCGCAGACAGTCCGGGAATCAGCGTGTTTTTACATGAGTAGAACGTGTCCTTTTATTTAAAATGCATCTCTGGGTTATTTGTGGGGCCTGCCTGGTGTTTTTACATCAGTAGAATGTGTGCTTTTATTTATAATGCATCTCTGGGTTATTTGTGGGGCACAGGAATTTGTTCATTTCCCCCCCCCCAAAAAATAGTCTGGCCCCCCACACGGTCTGAGGGACGGTGGACTGGCCCATGGCTGAAAAAGGTTGCTGGCCCCTGACATAGTCCATCACAGGAGTCAGCAAACTTTTTCACCAATTGCCTTCAATATTTGAGCTCATGCAGATAGTCTAGGAATTCAGTCATGTTTTTACATTTGAGTTATGAATGTGTCCTTTTTATTGAGTAAAAGTGGCGAATAAAACTAACTAGGAAGTTGGAGTCTTGTAGGAGGACATAGGAATATAGCAAATGTTCGAATTTCCGATCTCCCCCAAAAAATAGTCTGGCCCCCCACAAGGTCTGAGGGACAGTGGCCCGGCCCCCTGCTGGAAAAGTTTGTTGACCCCTGAGCTAAAGCGTCCTCATCCGCATCCCAAAAGGATAAGCTAGGTTGCAAGAGTTGCAAGGCCCCCCCCCCCCCGGATAACGGGTGGGACTGTCCTTCAGCTCCCTCACCTATCTGAACAATAGCCAGTGCTTTGAGCTGTGAGCTGAGCTGGAAGGAGGCTGGAAGCTGGAGACACAGAGTCTTGCTTGCTCTGTGCTGGATCCAAAGACTAATGGAGACACAAGATCTGTAGGGCTGCGAATGCCATGAGCCCTCCAGACTAGACTCAGGTTATTCATATGGATAAATGAAACCATATATACTAAAGACACCACAGTTTCCGCTGTCCTTTCTGCCAAGGTGAAATATACTCAGAGTCGATTTCATGCTCTTTATTCAGCTCATAGTGGTGAGGAGGAATGCAAGTTCCCCCAGAATGTCTGCTTTATATACATTATTTACACAATGGGCTCCATGTGATTGGCTAATTCCAGGATTCTCCTGTAGGCCAATCAGGTTGCAGATTCACTTCCACCTGGAGCTGGATTGGGTGGCTCCTGTGGACCAATCAGACTGCTGCATTCTGAATCCTATTGATCTAGGACCAATCAGACTGCTGCATTCTGAGTCCTATTGTTCTAGGACCAATCAGACTGCTGCATTCTGATTTCTATTGTTCTAGGACCAATCAAACAGCTGTGTTCTGGATCCTATTGTTCTAGGACCAATCAGACTGCTGCATTTTGGATCCCATTCAACTCAGTACATAACACAAGGGCACCGTTTTGTTTGGCTTGGTGGTCTACATGCAGTGCTATAGATCTGAGAAGCCGAGCTCGGAGCTTAGGCAAGAAAGAGTCTTGCAAAGTTACACAGGTCTTGCAAAGGTGCAGGTCAGGTTCTGCAAGGCTTGTGCCAAACAGCAGGTGGGGGAGCTGAGCTCTTTTGCATAGGGCTCTGTTTTGATCATTCGAACTCTCGTCCTTCGGTGCCTGTTCTGCAGACTCAAATAAAGATAATAATAATAATAATAATAATAATAATAATAAAATTATTTATACCTCACCCTTCCCGGTTCAGGGTGGCTAACAACAAATTTAAAACACTTAATTGATGCAACAAAAAAACAGCATAAAATACCATATAAAATGTGAATAACAATAAATCAGTTTAGTGGGAAAATCCATCCAGTAAACATTAGATGATCACCAGGGCTAGCTGGCTAAGTTAGTCCTATTTGGGCCAGTGAGGAGACCAGGGGAGAATTAGCTGTGGGGTCTCAGAGCGGGTGATCTTCATAAAAGGGGAGGGAAGAGAAGGGAAATAAAAGATCAGGCTGAATTCAAATTAAAGGCCAGGCGGAATAGCTCTGTCTTACAGGCCCTGTGGAAGGAGGTTAAATCCTGCAGGGCCCTGGTCTCATGGGACAGAGCATTCCACCAGGTCGGAGCCACCACTGAGAAGGCCCTGGCCCTGGTGGAGGATAGTCTGACTTCCTTAGGGCCCAGGACCTCTAAACTATGATTATTCATGGACCCGTTGTGTCTGAATGGGGAGATGGGGACCTAGAAGTCACTCGTGGGGCAAGTATCCGCCATTGAGGTAATCAGCCCCTCCACTTCTCCCACCCCACCCCAAATCTCACCCCAGAGCTTTACGATGAACTACTGGAACAGGAAGGGGGTCCCAATCTCGTTTCCGTCTTCCAACGTCTGGCTACAGAGGCGAACCCTAACCTTCCCCCTGGGGGAGGCCTGGCTAGCAAGTAAGTATGATGATCTCCCTCCCCATTCCCTGGGAATCACCCACCCCCACCCCGCTCTCATATCTGCAGGGGGGTCCGTTTCTTCTAAAGCACACAAAGGTGCGCTCCAGTAAGAAGGATCACCAGCTTTCGAAACCTAAAGGATTCCGGGCCCTGGGCCGGTGGGTGGAGCCAAGTACGGACCTGTGGGTGGAGTTTGGGGCGGGGTCCAGGTGATGATGATGATGATGATTTATTGAATTTATATCCAGTGGTACCTCGGGTTACATACGCCTCAGGTTACATACGTTTCAGCTTACAGACTCCGCTAACCCAGAAATAGTACCTCGGGTTAAGAACTTTGCTTCAGGATGAGAACAGAAATTGTGCTCTGACGGCGTGGCAGCAGCGGGAGGCCCCATTAGCTAAAGTGGTGCTTCAGGTTAAGAACAGCTTCAGGTTAAGAATGGATCTCCGGAAGGAATTAAGTACTTAACCCGAGGTACCACTGTACTGCCCTATACCCGGAGGTCTCAGGGCAGTTCACAGAAAAGATCAACTTAAAAACCAATATAAATATATAACCAAAATAAAAGCAAGAACCCAATAACCAGCTCCATCTGGTACACAGGATGAGACCCTTCCTGCCTGCGAACTGTCTCGCCAGAGTGGTGCATGCTCTGGTTATCTCCCGCTTGGACTACTGCAATGCGCTTTATGTGGGGCTACCTTTGAAGGTGACCCGGAAACTGCAATTAATCCAGAATGCGGCAGCTAGACTGGTGACTGGGAGCGGCCGCCGAGACCACATAACACGTCTTGAAAGACCTACATTGGCTCCCAATACATTTCCGAGCACAATTCAAAGTGTTGGTGCTGACCTTGAAAGCCGTAAATGGCCTCGGTCCAGTAGACCTGAAGGAGCGTCTCCACCCCCATCGTTCTGCCCGGACACTGAGGTCCAGCTCCCAGGGCCTTCTGGCGGTTCCCTCCCTGCGAGAAGCCAAGCTACAGGGAACCAGGCAGAGGGCCTTCTCGGTGGTGGCACGCACCCTGTGGAACGCCCTCCCACCAGATGTCAAAGAGATAAACAACTACCTGACATTTAGAAGACATCTGAAGGCAGCCCTGTTTAGGGAAGCTTTTAATGTGTGACATTTTAAAGGAATTTTTAATCTTTGTTGGAAGCCGCCCAGAGTGGATGAGGAAATCCAGCCAGATGGGTAGGGTACAAATAATAAATTATTATTATTATTATTATTTTATTTTACACCCCCCCCCAAAAAAAAGAACCACATTTTAAAAGGGCATAGACTACATTTGTCAAGAAAGGCCATTTACAGGCTTAGTCTAAATTGAGAAAAGTCGGTGCCCCCTAATCCCAGACCTGTGGCCATGTTTCCTCGGTGGTTGTATGAAAAGCACTCTGTTTATGCTCAGAAGCTTTTCTTTCTGCAAAGAAAGAAGGGCCAAGCGGCTTGGGGTACCAGAAGCTAGTGACCACCTTGTTCCTCTCACAGGAGAGCTGTGATCATGGAGGCTTATCAGCGGGCGAAGCAGAGTCGCGAGGAGCAAGAAATGCCGGTAAGAAACCACCGTATCTTATTGAACTGTGTGTAGGAGTTGGAAGGGAGTCCAGAGGGTCATGGAGGGCAACCCCTTTGTTCTCCTCGTGGCACCACCACACCAGACAACTGGGTTTGAAGCCTGGAAAATTTGGGGCAGGTAAAAGAACATCATGTGGCAGAATTGAACTACGGAACTCCCTGCCACTTGAGGCAGTGATGGCCACGGACTTGGATGGCTTTAAAAGAGGATGGGGCAAATCCATGGAGGAGGAGAGGCTCTTGGTGGCTCCTAGCCAGGATGGCTCTGCTCTCTGTTCCCATAACCTGGGGAGAAAACAGCAAAGACCTGATGAAGAGAGCACAGCAGAGGTTATATTTTCTGAGAATCCTCTGGAAAAATAATCTCTCATAGGACCTGTTGATGGCATTTTACCATTGTACTGTGGAGAGTGTATTAACTTACGGTCTGTGTGTGTGGTTTGGGAGCTGCACGGTCAGGGGAAAAACAATGCTGTCCAGGGTTGTCAAGACTGTGGAGAGAAGAATTGGGTGCACTCTTCCCACCTTGGATCTAATCTCTGCTTCCAGGTGTCATAAGAAAGCTGCAGAGATAGCGCAGGATAGTGCGCACCCCGGAAATGATCTCTTTCAGCTTCTGCCTTCTGGAAGAAGGTACAGGGTTATAAAGACTAGGACTAGCCGCCTGAGAAACAGTTTCTATCCAAATGCGATTTTGGTTCTAAACACAGTGTAAGGAGTCTCTATGGGAGTATATTGTATTTTTAAAATGGGGTATCAGAGTTTTTAGGGGGCTAACCAGGTTGGGATAGCTGGGTTTGTTGTTGGTTTTTGAATGTCTTGTGTAGATTTTTCAGTTTCGTTGGTCTGTATGGGACAATGACAATAAAGATTATCGTATTGTATCATATAGTGAGAGGCAGCAATGCTTCTGAATCCCAGTTGCTGGAATCCCCGGGGGGGGGAGTTTGCTCTTGGGGTCAGATCCTGCTTGTTGGTTTCCTGGTTGGCCATTGTAAGAACAGGCTGCTGCGACCATTGGCCTGATCCAGAGGCTGCTCTTCTGATATTCTTCTGCTCTGTGCCTTCCTGCCTCCTGGTTATCGATTCTACAAGCTTAAAGCAGTTTCAGAACAGCCTAACCAACCTGCTAAGCTGCCCCAAATAAACTTTTGGGAACTTGTGAAAAGTGTGGCGGAGGCTGCTTTTCAGCTGGACTGGCTGGTTCATTTGATTCGACTTTATTTAAATATTTAATTTATATATTGCTCAAAGCCACCGATTCCCAAGTTTCCAGAAAATACGATCGATTGAAACGAACTTTGGCTGCTCGCATTCCGACACAATTTCCCACACTGTTTCTGCTCATGGTGCTCCAACCAAGTTCTTACTTCTCCCTGCCCTTCTTCGTTTCAGGCCCCCAGTGCGAATGCTGCCTCGGATTGAACACTCTGCTGTGCAGGTTGGACCACGGACGCCAAGACATCATTTTTGCGAAAGAGAGCAGGCTGGGGGATCAAATCTGACCAGGATTTCTGGGCAAACTTAGGAAGCTGGATGGCAATGGATGGGGTGGGGCGAGTCAGATTGGGGCCACCACAGCCCCCTTTCCCCACCGCCCCCAGGGTGGAAAACACCATCTGGACTGAGCGGAACAGCTGGCACTCAAGACAAAGGCAGACCATTTTAGAACAGATCATGTGTTTTGTTTCTTGCCTGGACATAATTTTTGCTTCTTTTTTGAATTTGCATCTTATTTATTTGGTAACATTCTTATATTACATCGGTAAACGTCATATTACGTTACAGGACTTACTATAATTTCCAACATGTATACAAAAATTATATACAAATTTTATACACCTAGAAAGAAAATGAAACAAAAAAAGGAAGAACAAAGAGAAAAAACAAAAACAAAATTTCCCCCCCAAAATCATATACATTCCAACACTCTAGACTTCCTGTCTATACCGTTGTATATTCCTTTTTTACATGAATGTACTCTTACTATTGTATATTTCTTTACATTTTATCTAATACATTCCTATATCAATATGTGCTCTTAGTCTTATTTCTCAACTCAGTCTCACTCCAACGTCAATCAATGCTAGCATAGTGAACCTTTACTGCATATTTTGAACATATATATTATATCTATCCCACTTTTCCATGAATTTTTGTGTTGAATTGCCTCTCAGGGTATTTGTTAACTGCTTTTAAAGTTTTGCTTCTTTAACACTGCATTCCAACAGGAAAGACTTGGAAGAATCGAACTGGAACGTGTCCAGAGGAGGGCAACCAAAATGGTCAAAGGCCTGGAAACGATGCCTTATGAGGAACGGCTAAGAGAGCTGGGCATGTTTAGCCTGGAGAAGAGGAGGTTAAGGGGTGATATGATAGCCATGTTCAAATATATAAAAGGATGTCACATAGAGGAGGGAGAAAGGTTGTTTTCTGCTGCTCCAGAGAAGCGGACACGGAGCAATGGATCCAAACTACAAGAAAGAAGATTCCACCTAAACATTAGGAAGACCTTCCTGACAGTAAGAGCTGTTCGACAGTGGAATTTGCTGCCAAGGAGTGTGGTGGAGTCTCCTTCTTTGGAGGTCTTTAAGCAGAGGCTTGACAACCATATGTCAGGAGTGCTCTGATGGTGTTTCCTGCTTGGCAGGGGGTTGGACTCGATGGCCCTTGTGGTCTCTTCCAACTCTATGATTCTATGATTCTATGAATCATCACCACCCCTGGAATTTATCAGAAGGGGAAATGCAGCCTGTAGAATTCAGTGCCTCTCAAACTTGGGTCTCCAGCAGTTGTTGACTACAAATCCCATCATCCCTGACCACTGGTCATGCTAGCTATGGATGATGGGAGTTGTAGTCCAACAACAGCTGAAGACCCAAGTTTGAGAAGCACTGTGTAGACCAGGGGTTGGCAACCTAAGGCCCGTGGGCCACAAGCAGCCCACGGGGGTCGTTTAACTGGCCCACTTTTGTCGTTTAGTTGTGTCCGACTCTTTGTGACCCCATGGACCAGAGCACGCCAGGCACTCCTGTCTTCCACTATCTCCCGCAGTTTGGTCAAACTCATGCTGGTAGCTTCAAGAACACTGTCCAACCATCTCGTCCTCTGTCGTCCCCTTCTCCTTGTGCCCTCCATCTTTCCCAACATAAGGTTCTTTTCCAGAGAGTCTTGTCTTCTCATGAGGTGGCCAAAGTCTTGGAGCCTCAGCTTCAGGATCTGTCCTTCCAGTGAGCACTCAGGGCTGATTTCCTTCAGAATGGAGAGGTTTGATCTTCTTGCAGTCCATGGGACTCTCAAGAGTCTCCTCCAGCACCATAATTGAAAAGCATCCATTCTTCCGCGATCAGCCTTCTTTATGGTCCAGCTCTCACTTCCATACATCACTACTGGGAAAACCATAGCTTTAACTATACGGACCTTTGTTGGCAAGGTGATTTCTCTGCTTTTTAAGAAGCTGCCTAGGTTTGTCATTGCTTTTCTCCCAAGAAGCAGGTGTCTTTTAATTTCGTGACTGCTGTCACCATCTGCGGTGATCATGGAGCTCAAGAAGTAAAATCTCTCACTGCCTCTATTTCTTCCCCTTCTATTTGCCAGGAAGTTCCCAAACCGAGCCGCCCACTCGGCAAGTCCCGGTGCGCTGCACTAAACCGGTGCAACGCAGCACAGGGACTTACTTCTGCGGTGCTGAAAATCGCGTCTGATGCCAGAAAACGTGGGCGCAGGCGCGATCCAGCCCACGGAGGGATCTCCGCTGGAGTGATCCGGCGCAGGCAAGGTAAACCTTGCCGACCCCTGGAGTAGATGATGTCAACCCAAGTCTTTGGGTCGCTAATACAGTGGTACCTCGGGTTACAGACGCTTCAGGTTACAAACTCCGCTAACCCAGAAATAGTACCTCGGGTTAAGAACTTTGCTTCAGGATGAGAACAGAAATTGTGCGGCAGCAGCGGGAGGCCCCATTAGCTAAAGTGGTGCTTCAGGTTAAGAACAGTTTCAGGTTAAGAACGAACCTCCGGAACGAATTAAGTTCTTAACCCGAGATACCACTGTAAAAGCAACTCTTTAAAATATTCAAAAGATAAAATCAGCAAGAAGCTAAAAGCAGATCAGAACATGCATTGACGTTCTACACATCTGGAGAGGCTTGCCCCAAACAGGTGCCAAAAACACGACAGCGAAAGTTCCTGCCTGATGTCAAAAGGCAAGGAGTTCCATAGGTGCTGCCACAAAAAATAAGGATTTTTTACAAATATGGAACGGGTGTTACACATGGCACTTGGAACAGTGCCAGTTCCGGAGATCGAAGCGTTTGAGTGGCCGTATTTCGGGTAAGGCGCTCTCCAACCTTACCTTGAGAACATCCCCTTTGTGAGGAAGGCCTGCCATTCTTCCCCCTTTCACAGCCAGGGGGCGCTGCAACCGAGAGCAAAGCCCTTCCCTAAAGTTATACCAGGCATCCCCAAACCCGGCCCTCCAGCTGTTTTGGGACTACAGTTCCCATCATCCCTGACCACCGGTCCTGTTAGCTAGGGATGATGGGAGTTGTAGTCCCAAAACAGCAGGAGGCCCGAGTTTGGGGGTGCCAGAGTTATACTATGCCATGGGTAGGCAAACTAAGGCCCGGGGGCCAGATCCGGCCCAATCGCCTTCTATATCTGGCCCGCGGACGGTCTAAATCAGCGTGTTTTTACATGAGTAGAACGTGTCCTTTTATTTAAAATGCATCTCTGGGTTATTTGTGGGGCATAGGAATTTGTTCATTTCTGCCCCCCTCAAAATATAATCTGGCCCCCCACAAGGTCTGAGGGACAGTGGACTGGCCCCCTGCTGAAAAAGTTTGCTGACCCACACAGTGCCCACAAATAATGTAGGCCTTTGTTCCTAACACAGACATGGGCTGCTTGCAGGGGTACATTCTCATTATTATGGGCGACCTTCTCCTTTGTCCCAGGTGTGGCAGCTGGTTGGGGCTCCTCCAAAGTGGCATGAGGGCACTCTGCACATGTTCAGAGACACTTTGCTTATCTGTGCACCCAGGACACTGAAAACAGATTCTGAATTTACTGTAGTTCTTCCGGGATCCCTGTTCCTCTTTCATCTGATCATCTGATGCACAGATATCCTTTCCTCTTGTGTAAAGGTAAAGGTAAAGGTAAAGGGACCCCTGACCACTAGGTCCAGTCGTGGCCCACTCTGGGGTTGCAGCGCTCATCTCGCTTTACTGGCCAAGGGAGCCGGCGTACAGCTTCCGGGTCATGTGGCCAGCATGACTAAGCCACTTCTGGCAAACCAGAGCAGCGCATGGAAACGCCGTTTACCTTCCCGCTGGAGCGGTACCTATTTATCTACTTGCACTTTGATGTGCTTTCAAACTGCTATGTTGGCAGGAGCAGGGACCGAGCAACGGGAGCTCACCCCGTCACGGGGATTTGAAACGCCGACCTTCTGATTGGCAAGTCCTAGGCTCTGTGGCTTAACCCACAGCGCCACCCGCGTCCCTTCCTCTTGTGTAAGGAAGTGGTATTCACCAATATCCAAATATTTAACGTTCTGGAACCTCGCAAGCTGTCTCCGAGGCTTCCTTTTTCTTTTCTTATTGTACCAAATATACCTGTCTTCTGGAAATAAGTTTCGTGTTTTCACATGGCGATATTGGTGGTGTAATTGGTGAGAGCCTGTCTCAGCTTCTCACATTTCACTACTGCGTGATTGCATGCCAGGTTGCATCGTATTGGTCTGAAATCTTCACCCCCTTGTTCGCTTGGATTTGTTCATCCAATATGTTTGTTTCTTACTTCGAACTCCTGACTGTGTACGCAGCACAATACAGCGTCTTCGGGGACAATTAAACGTTGCTTTTGGTAACGAACCGCCGTTCATTTGCAAATGTTAACACACAGTGGCAGAAAATCGGGGAGAAACCCCGGTGCCAAATGAGGAAAGAGGAAAGGCTATGTGCCTGAAAAATACAAATGAGGTTATTGGGCTTGTCGCAGGAAACCCCCCCCCCCAATCATTCAGTTTGTACAAACCACACACACACTCACACTCACACACTACATACGCTACGCTTCTGTTATAAATTCATAGAAAATCAACCATACATCGGATCTGCACTGTTCCACTTTTATTTTACTCCATGAAGGAAGGACTACAAAATGGGGAAGGTTTGATACAGGCCATCCATAATCCCTTGAGCATACCAGTACATACACAGGAGCCCTGCCCAGTTGGCATGACAACCTTGATGGTCCCAGAAAGAAGACCATCAAGGACACAACGGACTGGCATATGGACTTGCATATGGGAGTGGATTCAACACGGACTGGAACAAAGGACAATAATCAGCTCTTCCCTCTGGGGGCAGGAAACTGCCAACTCCCCTCTGTCACCTGGGAAGTACTCATGGGGAGGGGGAAAGG